TGGGGTGTGACATGGACATACTATAGCTGTTCCCGGAATCCAGGAACCTCGATTCTGAACCCACTGCTGGACGGCTCACCGGGTACCCAGGTAGTAAGGTAGAGAGAGACACTGGGGGACGTTCATAGCCGTCGAGCATGTGCGAGACATGGGAACCAACCGGACTTTAGCCCAAACTATTGGGACCCGAACTTACAGAAATCGCGTACGACACGATGGTTGCTATAGGGTCAGGCCTATCGAAACAATAATACATACCAAACGCTGATCTAAGGAAACTTGCATGCGTTCGCGAGTAGGTCATTAACTAGAAGACATGACAAGGTATTTCACACGAGATTCGAGGGAGAGGTCTCGATTTGGATGATCAGCCCTGCTGTGACATTTGGCGACGACGCGAAGCCAATGTCAGCTCAGCGCGAAGGCTGTGCCCTATCCTCACGGGCCCTCGTACAACGCTGGAAATGCAGTTGCGTAGTTCCGCGCAGCCCGCATCGTAATCCGGTAGATTGGTTTTTGCGATGAGCTTCTCGTTCTCCCACGCTAGCCATGTACGGCCGTATCCAAGATCTTAGAAGAGGTGTGACGATCAAGTCTTGACGTGCCTAGGATTGATGAATCTTGGAACCGGTGCAAGGGTGTCACTAAATTTTATGAATGTACATACTGTACCTACCTTAGGTACGGGTATGTGTATGTATTGTTCACCTATGTAATCTGGGCCGTCGCCAACTCTTGCTTCGAAAGTCTTCTATGGTGCTCACAGTAAATACTGATGCGCGGAAACGTAGGAGATAATATCCTACATACTGATCTAAGCATAATTCAATTTCGGACCGGGGTCTCATGATTAGATCGGTGTGGAGATATTCGCCGATGAGGTAAAATGTACCAGACAGGGGACTCCTCTGGGTGGTCTGGGTGGTCAGGGTGGTGAGCATTGACTTCACGAGACTCCTATGTATGATGGCGAGCATCCTGTAACTCGCAAGTTACCGTGACACACGAATGTGGTCATACATAAAGAACCCAGATACAGAGAAAGCTTGATACAACCTAGATGCCTTCCGTACCGTACACCGTAGCCATCTGGTAGATGTATTCTGCATAAAAGGTATTTACCGTATGACTGCATCCCATCTCACTGTAGATACGCCGCACCATCATTAAAATCCCTGCGACAGGGCCTCCCCACCGCTAAGGGCGATCATCATACGAGGGTACATGCTGGTAAGAAGTATCATGTAACTGGCAGATTCTACCTACATATGAATAGTTTCTCTCCTACATACGATAGAGGCGTCCGAAGCGGTGCTATTTTCGTTCGAATTTCATATATGCCCGCCTATAGGAGAATCTATTGTGCTGGTATTTTTTACGTCTATACGGAATAAATGATGATGTGCCTGCAAACACTCTAGTTAAATGTAAGGAACATGGCAGAAGATCTTCCTGTGACGGACTTTTGCAAAGCTTGACTACCGGAAGTTAAAGAACAGCAGCAAGGTAAGGACTTCGATATAGCTGAGATCTCTTTATTGGAACTTTTGGAATGCGGGTGTCAGGCTCAACGGACGACGACTTAGTCGAGACTGACGCCTCCTACGTTGTGATACCTCAGCAATCTACTATTCAACGAATGATGTCGCATGAGCCGGACTTGACGAGACTGTCTGTTAACTCTTGATATATGACATTCATCAATTATAGTCAACGTCTCCGAGCACGACGTGTTGCTATTGATTTCGGACAACATGGATAGCATCAGCTCTGCATCGCCCGCTTCCATAGTATAAACTGTATAGTTCTCATAAGGGCTCGTTTACAAATCACCTATAGATAATTCATGTATATATACTATGACTTGTTCTTACTTGCATCTTATATACCTAGTAGGCTTTGTGATCGACGTCTCTCTGACGGCCTAGAGAAGTTCGAGTGCGAATTTGCGAAGTCCGGATGATACGACGAAGCTGACCCTCCGACATATGCTAGAAGCATTTGGAAAATAGCATCGCTACTAGGTGATCATTCCAAGAGGCTCTAGCAAAAGTTCTATCTTCTCATGACATGTCAGTTCAACATTTCTATTGTCATATACTAACCCCCTTCTGTAACGTTCTGCTCACCTCGCCTTGGCATGTTGCTTTTTTTTGCCCCCTTCTCTTCTGAACAGCTATTTTTCCGCGGACTAGAGATTTATCGCTAGCATTCCTACACATGGAGGAAAGGACCGAATATCTCGAAGGGCTCCGTTAGGCGCGTCAGCTTCAGCAATCTTCTACTCATACGTATTTTTCGAAGTCGTCGGTCCCAAGGCCGATGAGCCGAAGAAGAAAAAATAAAGACGCTGCCAAGACGACGAAGGGAAAGTTCCTCAACCTGTCTTCCAAGTACCCAAGTACACGGCGCCTTGACAATTGTCCTCCAAAAGTAAGGGTTGGGGTTCCACTAGGCACGGCTGATGCCGCCCACTATTTTCTCTCTCCCTTCTATTTTGGAACCTGTCACTATGAAATGAGCAAATCTCGCCGAGTGGCACAAATGTCAGTCGGAGACGTCCCCTATCTAGGAGGGCTTCGGTACGGCGACGAGGACGGCTATTAGAGAGTAGGTATCAGTTCACGAGGATATGGAGTAGCAACCCTTCGCTGCGAACTCCTAGGTCATCCTACCCATCCTAACCAGGTTAGAGATGGCAGCCCACATCTCCATTGGCCTGCGGAGATCGTCCAATAGCTGCATAAGCTAATGGAATAAAGTGACCGACCAATGATATTCCTGGTTGCTTACCTCTTTCCGGTAATCCCACCACCCTCCCCTGCTCATCGATCTACGCAGGACTAACACAGACGTCCCCATCTTTAAAGCTCTAGGACAGTAGGCGTCTAGGTATTGCTAGGTCGATTTTGGACATGAGAAAAGAAAATGCACATCGCAAAGGAACTTATGCTATTTTTCACGCTGCTGCCCAATCACGGCGCTGCTATGCTGAATACTAACTATTCTTCTATTGCTACTACTGCTACTACTACTGCTTGCAAGCGCAATACCAGCTTAGTTTTTACCTGGCTAATTATACTGCGTCTGATGCTAACTACAGCTAAAGCCAGAGCTACGAGAAGTATACGCAGGTAGACATTTATTCGCCCGTATAGCAACACACCTACCTACATGTACGCATGTACCTTATGCGCGATACCTTAGCTACATTCTCTTGTACTTGTCCGTAATAGCTATCTCGCCTCAGTTAACGACAGAAGGTCTCGAAATTCACCTATTCGGCTAGCCTTGTCGACTACCTAAGTCCTAGTCTAGCTTATACAACGTGGTGCAGTTTACTACGCTGAGCGATGAGAGTTGCGCCATCTTTTCCACTTATACTTACACTTACACCCCCCTTCCAAGCTGTGCGCATAGTATGTATGTCAACTCATCCTTGTCTTGTCATTCCCGTCAGCTCATTGCTCTTTTCGTCCTGCCCCCTCCACTCGCCCTATGCTTTTTCCATTATTTTTATTCCCCCCTCCCATCAAGTACCCGTCATACTAGGAGCCACCATAGGGGCCCTACTCTTGACGGACTACCTGTCTACCTACCCAGAAGCTATCCCTTTCGAATAATGTGGGGGATAGTCACCCGTCCTCCTACCTGCCTGTCTCGACTCTGGGGCACGACCCCAAGTTGTCGTCTCTCACCCCCCGACCACAGACCCTTGCATGATTTGCACCTTTTTAAGACATTGAGAATCTCGCATTTCAACGGCCAGCATCCCTGTTAGCCTTTGACTCCTCCACCCTCTCTCTAGACTATCATCAAGGTCGGCATCATCGCTGCATACATACTCAGGCAACTGCCCGACTCAACATCACCCGCAGGCAAAATTCTATAGTTATAGGAATTTGCATATTTTGGGAAGGGAGAGGCACAGAGGCACTAGAAGTCTGCGGCCGCCTATCCGACCTATTTCGAGGAAAGGTTAAAAAATTACACAAGCCAAGAAAAGAAAGATAAAAAAATATTTAGCAATAAAAGTAAAGCAGGGGGAGGCTTGAGATGAGCAACCAAGCAAAAAAAGGTACATCGCTGGTACTATCTGTCTGTGTAATGCAATGGTCTCGACCGGCCACAACACAGGAATCTTAACTACAGCCCCAATACTTCACAACGGCGATCCGACCAAGAAATGTGTCTCGCACCTTATTCTTTTCGTCTCTTTATCAGTTCTTGATCCCTTCGAAGAACTTCTCCCCATCTTGTCCCAGTTTGAGGATCAACGTCTCACACACACATATTTGAGAGACCCTCCTTCTGAGTCCCCGTTCGTTTGCTGACAGGTTCTCCGACAACTCGCAGTTCTTTAGCTGTTTACCTGTTCGTTGTTGGCTTGTTGGCTCTTGGTGTGCTTTGGTTCCAGTTACGACACGAACCACGCGGGACACGCGAACCTCCCGGATAGCTGCGTACTTCTGATTGCGGCCCTCCCAACTCACCTTCATGCGAACACGTTCGGGCAGGCTGCATACGAACAAACCCGTCTCCACACTCAATCGACTTTTTGGGTGCAGCTCGTGAGTTATAGCCCTTTGTCGTCTAGCCGCGCCAGGCCAACCATCGCCATTTCCGCTTCGCGGCAGTCCGGTACGATTACCAGAGCTTGTATGACGACGGGGTCCTCCTGGCTCGACCTCCGCCGCCATTTTCTCTTAGCTAATTACCCGCAATATAGTATAAATAACTAACAACCCAACCAGACGAACAAGATATTCAAGGAGTTGAGTATCCTCTTTTTTTGTGGCGGGGAAAGGTTTTGGATGCTTCCACTTTCCGAGACTCGACTCAGAAATCAGTTTGCCAACAACCTGTTTCAGCCAATGAGCGCCGCTGAGCTCCTATCTACTTCTACGAACTAAAGCTGTCAAAGATTCTCAGACCTGTTCGGAAGGAAGAAAGAAGGGGTTTTCATATTAATCCCCCCACGAACAAGTAGCCGGAGCATCCTGCGGTCCTAGTCCGTTGAGATTCAAAGTAGTCAGCTCTCAGAGTGGTCTGTTTCTGCCTTTTCAGCAACTACCGCTCCTCTCCCAACCCGCAGAACCTTGGATGTTTGTTTCACTACCTAGTAGTATTGCCAACAGAAGAAGTTATCAAAATTTCCCAGACTCGGCAGCGAATAAGACAGGCGGAGCGCGAAGAAGCATCCCTCCAACAGCAAACCAGGAAAGCTGTTTCCCATAAGGGGATCCAAGGGTAGAAGATTGTAGAGTCTCAACACATAGGGACCCTCAACTTTCTGCAACACTGCTCCCGAAACAGGCGTTTGTTCGTTCCATTTGGAACAAGTTCCCCTACTCCATCTTCTAGACTTGCTGGAAACAGACAACTTGATGTCTGCTGTCAAGTTTGAGTACCCGACCTATAAGCTGTTCGAGGTGAGTCAAGGCGACGGAAGCTCCTGCTAAGTAACTTGGCGACATGGTTTCGGGAAGACGTGCTGACTGGGAACGACAGCCTCAATATCACCAGAGGCCAATCATCGTCGACGCTGACGCGCTCGAGTCTCCTGAGACGGTGATCCTCCGTTACGAGGAAGAGGCGGCCGCTAGAGCGAACGGAGGAGACCTTCGTGGGGATTCCCCGCCTGGTCTCCTATCTATGCCCGCATATTCAAAACCTCAACCGCCCCAGATGCATGGTGAGTTCTTCCGTGCGGTTGTCCCTTAGTCGAGATCTAGATCTATAATTCGGCAAGATGTTGTGGCTGTACCCGTAGCATCTTTGTACGGGGTGATGGTGGCGGCGTCGGTTATGAAACGTAGGGATCTGCGAGCTAACTCGACCCTGGTCTGCCAGCGTTTGATTCACCAAGATCCTACCAAGATCCCCAGTATCAGTACTCGGCTCAGCACTTCGCGGCTCAGCAGTCTGAAAATGCCGCCGCGCAGCTTAACCAGATGGCCTTCGCGGCAAACGGCTCGGCGGGCCAGTACATGGAGCCGGTCGTGGCCACGCTGACCTCGTACCAGCCGACGGCGGGCATGTTTGGAACCAAGGTATTGATCAAGATAACAGCTCCGTACGATCTGATCGCGATCACGAGCCACTTCTTCTTAGCATTCGGATCGCACAAGAGCCCGGCACACGCTATCAGGGACACGGGGGACGCGAGCGGCTTTGGCTATGCTGTCAGCGGAGACGCACCGCAGTTTGAAGACACGCGGAGTCCAAGCGCCAACGTGCCTTTATCACTCCTGATCGAGAGTGCGACAGGGCAGACTTTGGCAACTATAGACGTAGGCACGTTCGCATATCATAACACTCCAGCCGGGACCACAGGTGGCCCGCCTGAGAGCGTCACGCGCGTCAAGGGGGGGTCCAGGTCACCTGAGCAGAGGCAGAGCCCTACAAAAGAGGAGGACCAGGAGCAGCTGGCAACCGACACAGCTACAAATACGTACGGCTACGCTCCCACCGCACAACAAGCCGTCGCACCCAACTATGACCCCGGCTACACCAACAACGACAGTATGATAGGGACTTACCACCGCTCGTCTTACGCGCTCGACTATCCTCGTCCGCCCCCGCCGCCGCCTCTGAAGACGCCTTCGTGGAGCCAGTACGCGCACACCCTCTCCGGACGAAGTCCCGCCATACATCACACGACGATCCCTCGACCTAGCAGCATCACGACCTTACCAGTGCCGACTTCCAGCGCGCCGCAGCTAATACGCACCAGCACCCTGCAGGCGTCTGGATCGTCGGGCGGGGGCCAGTTGAACCCCTACGCCCTCTACTCCACTAAAGCGATATTGGAGATAAATGGAGATCTCGAGTCGATGGCATCCGGGTGGACCCAGGAGGAGTGGGAAAACCGGAGGCGGATAGTGATGTTCAGCAAGAAGCAAAGGGGCTCGACCCTTACGACGTCGTTCAAGCCTGTGGCGGCCAACGACAGACCGCCAAACAGCATCTGCATCAGCTGCATCTACTGGGCCGAGAAGGAGGAATGCTACGTTACCAGCGTCGACACCATATCCCTGCTGGAGCAGCTCGTGGCCGCGCCGGGGAGGTTCTCGGTCGAGGAGAAGAACCGGATCCGCCGCAATCTCGAGGGGTTCCGCCCCCTGACGGTTAGCAAAGCGAAATCCGATAGCGAGGAGTTCTTCAAGGTCATCATGGGCTTCCCGGCACCCAAGCCGCGCAATATCGAGAAAGATGTCAAGGTGTTCCCCTGGAAGATTCTAGGCTCGGCGCTTAAGAAAATCATCTCCAAATACGTGAGTTTTGACTCTGATGCATCTTTCCTGCATCTAATCTGCATCTAATCTCCTTAAGCTCCATCTTGTTATCTCGAACCCTTGTTTCACATATAGATTTTCGAACGGCATATTTGTCATGGATTTTCTACGCGCTACGAGAGAGCCGTGCCCTTTTTTTTGTTTTTTCCTTTGGTCAAATTTCAGCTTTGCCTTAGATCCCTTCCGAATACAGACTTGACAGATTTTGACTAACTCGAAAAATCAATCTAGTCCGCTTCTCCGTCGTCGACGATACCCCCTGGACCGGGACCGACCCTGCTCACTCCCGTCAGCAGCACGAGCCCTGGTCTCTATGGGCCGCCCCACACGCCGACGGTATCTGACAGCAGCTACTCTCACCATGACTCGCATTCGATGCCATCACCACGATCTCTCACCGGTGCCCCGTCGGCATGGGCAGCCTATCCCGGCCGCACGATCTCGCCCGGGATGAAACCCCACTCCCCACAGGGCATCCAGATCACTGGCCTGCCCCCTTCCTATAGGCACGCAGATACGAGGCCGCAACAACACCTACCGGCGCCGCCAAGCTACGGCCTAGCGCAGCGATGGGACACCACCGCCGTCTCCAACGGCTACGGCGACGCCTCTACTCCCGCCTACACGACCAGTCACCAGCATCAGAGTCATGTGTACGGCGCAGGCACGTACGGTGATGTAAGTCACCGGGAATAGCGACGTGATTCGAACGCTTTCTAGAGACGGAATGGAAATGGGTGGGAACAATTTCAGAAGGCGTTGCGTCGCGGGATGGCGAGGGTTGCATGATGAGCCATCCACTGGTCAACGGTACAAAGAAAGCTAAACAGATGCCCAAAGGGCCAAAGCGCGCGGGATCCAACTCGAGCATCCGCACCGCATATCCTCATACGATACGGTTTACACCCCGGCCTCTCCGTCTTCCTTCTTACGGGTTCCTTACGACACGACGTATGGGTGTGAACGGGAAGAATGGACCAGCAAATCTAAACCACATACTGTGCTGTGTACGAATTGTCGAGATTAATTATTTTTGGTGTGTGGTTGTTTGTGTGGTTCGTGATGGGGAATCATGCTAGGCTCCTAGACTCCCAAACTTCTAGGAAAAGAGGGTTTATTCGTAATATGGGCATATGCCAAGTTGGAAACTGGTGGGGGGAGAGAGCGAGAGAGAGAGCTCTGGTTAGGTGGTGTGTATATGTTATGTGTGTGTGGGGGGAAAAGGGGGGGAAGTCTGGCCAAGGTCAGCTGTTGTCGCTTCAACCAATCACCATTTCTCCCGGCACTCCATTTTGATCGCACGACACAGACGACCTGCCTTGATTTTATTCTCCGGCATCCTGACCTACGCATATACAAGCCTCGCTCGGCCTCCAGAACCGCCCTACCCGTAATGAATTTCTCTGCGGTAGCTACATTGCTCAAGTGCCGGCTTTCCTGATATCCATCATCAGGCGGTTTTATGTCCTTTTTTTCCCCCCTCGACCATCATCACGACCGCCTTATCGTCCCCTTCCCTTTCCCTGTTCCGGGAGGGCCCTACCTAGGCGGCCATGATCGACTTTGCATGGCTAGTCCCCGATGACTGATTGGTCACAAGCTCGTCGACTCGCAGACGCATCCATGTGGGCAACATGGATGGTGTGCGAGCCTAGATGTACGTCTATCGGGTGCGCGCCGCTGCCGCTGCATGATGCATGCCATCTGCGTCACGCCGTCCCTTACTTCCTCACTGGGTAACCATCTTCATCTTTCCCTAGTCGTCATCGGGAGCCCACCTCTTCAACGCCTCGAAGCTTGATCAATTTTGAATTACCAATTCCATATGCCTTATGCACCATAACGACTTCGAAGGTTTCACTACAGCCGCATGCCTCTCTGTACCTATTATCTCTCTTCGCCCTCTTGACCGTGCGGATGATCCACACACAATGCAATATACAAATAACTTTATCAGCAGACCCTAGAGGCACCTTATACGCTGGAGACTGGGGGAAATGAATTTATGTCTGATACCCCCTTACGGCTCTGGTCGAGCGGAATATGATCTCGCCCGGCCACTTACGACCCCAGTCCTCACCGAGCCTGGACGTCTGGTGATACCCACATGCTTTACCGCCTACCGCCTACGAGGGTTAATTAATAGCCGTTTACGAGATACTAGTCGCCATACACGAGGATGACGTCCATATGCATCTATTCCCAAACCTCAAGCAACCTACACATCCTTTTTTCCGATTTCACGATCATGTACTTTCACACTCCATCTACCACTTTTGTACCCGCTACCTAAATATTCGGGACACCTCAAAGGCCCTGGGTTGGTACGCACAATACCTTCCAGTAGTCATCATATCTTTACTTTTTTTTTTTTCCTAGGCGCTTTTTGGTTTTTAGAATTTGTTGGATCCCCCGGAAATTTTTTACCTCTGTTCCTATCTCTTTAGGAAATAGAAATCGATGTCACGAATCTTGGTTTTCGGCTCTTTTCGCTTATGCGACGCGCTTAGGGAATACTACCTTACCGCCCTACTTCCTTGAATCGAGCCGACCCTTATTACGCATGGCCCACAGTTGACAGGATGCAAATCCCCTTCCCCTAATTTTGATTGCAGATTTCTGCAGATTTCTGCATAGGGGCTCGGACACCTTTTTTGGAATTCTATACAATTCATTACCACGAATTGCCTCTCGCTTTCACTTTCCTTTTCCGTCATCTTATTGTAATAGTTTTTACCTTTTGGACTAGGCCGCTTTGACGGTGTTTATTTGATTTACCTATGTAGGGGTACCTGGTTGGAATATGAGGAGTTTACAGCGTCACGTAGTTTCGGACGGGGCATGGCCTTAACGGAGGAGTATGGGTAAGGGGGGAATCAAGGAGCCGCGGTACGGCTCCTCACGATGATCGATTAGGTTGGGATTTTTCCCTCTCCTTTTTAGAGCGTTTTATACCCTGTTTTCTTTACAATTCTTGTAACGTTAGCTCTACCCTTTCTCTTCTTGCTTTGCTAGACCAATATCTTGAAACCAGAAATGCATTTTTTTTGCCGGACGTTTACTTTGGAGTGGTGTATCTAGGGGAACAGATTTGGGACATTGGGGTTTAGATGGAAGAGGATCGGATACATTACTACCAGGTGCTAGGAATCAAGTTTACGGCGCAAATTAGTAAAAGAGTTATTGGAGAAGGGTAATAGAGCGAATATGGGGCATATGGCATAGGATATGGGACATGGGGCACAGGACACCAGATATCGTCATGCTTAGATAGAGGGAGGCGTATTCGGGAAATAGCTTGCTTAATTGTTTGTTAACTTTGCCTAGTTGATATTATCAGGGACCTATGTAATCATAATACATGCTTCCACTGCTACTCGGAAATACTGTCCGCGTATACTACGTAGTACTGATCTCTGGACCCCTTAAAATAAAAATAAAGAGATTATGACCGCAACTTTTACCTAAGAGGCTTAATGATCATAGATCAGAAACGTGGCCGCCTCAGATCCCTATTTTATCTATACCTGGATAGAATCCGTGCGCTCGCATCTCTGTTTTAAAGAGAGACAGCTGAATACTCTCTCTTATAATAGTACTCTATAATTTCAAATTCTCCATCATATCGGTCAAGGATTGCCACCTATGATCGTCCTCCCATGACTCTTTGGCCTTACCCATGATGCTCCTCACCGCATTTCTGGCCTTGCCTTTCCATCTGCTCCCAACACTGTCCACCCGCGATCCGTAGTTTTCGTAGGCTGCCACCAAATCCGATGTCCTCTGTACTACAGCGTCCCACGCGTCTACGTTTGTCAACCAGCTTCCCTGCTGACCTTGCGTTCCACTAGACGCAGACAGGGCACTCCCGACACCGCCAACCGCCGTTCTCCATGCTTTCTCGGCCGCATCCAACGCACCTGCCCAGTCTCTTCTCCAAGCACGAAGACGAGACACCAAAGCCCAGTATGCCGAGTCCGTCGTGATGAGAGGCACGATGTCGTTCTCGAAAAGTGACACGACTTTGCTCTCAATAGTACCTCTTTTTGGCTCGTAGGCTTCCGATTCTCCCTCGTTGCCGCTGGGAACCGATGTCTTAGTCGTCTCCCTGACTAAGAGTGTCAGGATGTCAAGATCTAACGCCTCTTCTGTCTTGCGGATACGGATCACATTTCTCACGCCGAGCACCACATCATCCAGGTCAGGCTTCGGCGATAGACTGGCTGCCAGAGTGATAACATTATCCCAAATTCTCCAGTTCGAGTCAGCGAGCGTAGCTCCGCGTTTAAAGGCGATGAGGGAATCTTGTAGTAGCTTGTTGCCGGACTTCCCAAGTTCAGCTGCCCGCTTTGTAGCCACCATATCGTCTGAGGTGTCCTTTTTCTCCGAGATAATCTGGCGATACCAGCTCAAAAGTGCCGTTCCAAGATTACTCCACGTCCGCGCATCCTCTCCTCCGGAAGTATTGTTCGCGGTTGATATGGCCCTCTGAAACGCTTCAGCTGCGTCGGGGAAATTTCCGAGACGCAACTCGATGTCACCGAGCCTATTCCACATCTCCGGGCTTAATCTATTCACACCAACGGCAAGGAGGTACGCGTCTCGGGCTTCTTTCCATTCTTGCTTTTGAAGGTGAAGCTCTCCTAGAGATCTCTGCGCCCTCGCAAAACGCCGGTTGGAGATCTCCCATGCACGGTGGTAATGTTGAGGATCGTTTTCAATATCTCCTAGTATACAAAACAACCTAGGGGAATTTGGGGGTGGTGGTGAACGTTCTCGACCACAGAAGTCAGACGCTTTCAGAGACGATATGTCAACTTCAGCATCATCCATGTCAGTGCAGTCCTTGAAATCGGTATTGGTGTTAAAATCAGGAGTGCGGTGGAATAATCTCCATCGTAGGACAGCCCGAGCCTTTTCTTCGCCTCCACTTCCTCGACCGTCGGGATCATCTCTAGATGCGCTGCTTGCTAAACACAGGGCGACTTCTGCCCAAAGACGTAGCCGTTTGAAAATTTCCAGAGCCGAAACGAGAGATCCGACAGAAGTCCAAGCATAGGCGAGCTCAGACTCCAGATGCCAACGCGGGGGGGAGGACAGAGCATTTACATACCGCAGTCTCTCTTGCGGAGATGCTGATTCGGAGGGTTTGGGAGCTGGAAGGAATGATATTGGTTTTTGAATACCAGCAGACTGGCCTGGCTGATCACCAGAGGTTACCTGAATAGTTGGAATATCGGATTCAACCCCCGTGTTATCTTGGTCATCAAGGGGCTTAGTCAACCGTTCAGTCTCTTGCGTCTCGACGATAACCTGATCTACGAGAGCCTGCATCTGTAAGACGGCACGCTCGATAGTCCGACTCCTATTGAGCTCAATCCGCGACCGCACCAGTAGAGCTTGGGTATAAGTTTGCCAGTTGGTGGACTTATCATCGATCACTCGTTGAGCAAAGGGTAAGATTTCTTCCGAAGTTAATGAATCTGCGGGCGAAAATGTGTCTCTTATGGTAGCTTCGGTCAGGAGTATGATGTGATCTTCCGGACTAAGTTGTGGTTGTTCATCTGGTTTAATATCCTGAAGTTCAGGTGGAAGATCAGAGGTTGGTTTATGAGTTTGATCGTTGTCGAACTCGATATTCTCTAACAACGTATCGTCGTTTAGCGGAAGTGCGACCGGTGCCACATCAGATGTATCCTGTTGACCGAATGCCGTAGAAGATCGTGCGTGGCTCTTAGCAAGAACTACGAGTTGACTAGTATTCTTCTCCTGAAATCTTGTACGTTTCCCCAAGGCACCGGAAAGAATATAGGAGAAGCCACTGATTTCTGTAGCCGATTGCAATGCCTTCCGGGAGTTTGTATCATTCCCGAGCATTATATGACAAGCCGCCTCCTCCAAACGAAACTGGATGCGAGACTCCCGGGGCCATTGTGACTGGTCCGATTCTTGGTCGATTTCGGTCGACCCGAGAATAGAAGTTTCGGCCTCCCTAAGACTTTTCTCTATGCTCTCCTGAAGGGTTGGTACATCTGTCCAACGGCCACTTTTGGTGAATAAGGAGCCCGGGCCAAGTGAGGGCTGAGAGATGAGTTTATAGTGCCAGAGGTGAACCCTTAGGCGCGTCCAAGAGAGATGGAGCGAGAGAGAGTGCCCAAGATCTGACCAGATTTCGGGTAACTCAACGGGCAATATGATACCTGATGTGAAAATAAAGCGTGACAAGCAGAAAAGTTCGATGTGAGGTATGTAAGAATATGGCGAAACTCCGTCTACATCGAGAGACCTGAGGCAAATTCTTCTAAAAGATAATATCGGCGCTTCTACGCTGTCGTTTGCCTGTTCGTCCGAAGACTTGATCTTTGCAAAAGCCGAAAGGAATATAGCTTCGATTGCCTCACACCCCTCGAGAACTGGGCCTGTAACATTTGCTTGTAAGAAAGCACTCAAAGAAGCCAAGCCCAATCTAACGGTCTGTGCGACGTCGTAGGATTCCCCATCCGTTTGTGCGCCGGTGCTGGGTTGGTCTGCTGTTACATGCCGCACGAAATGTGATATTATGAGTCCGGATTGGTGTTCATGAAACGCTTCTAGGAAAGATGATTCCGCCAAACTTTTCTCTATAGAGATAATTTTCGAGGGTGAAAAATCGTGGTCAGCCATGTTGAAGCCGATATATTGCATGTATACCTCTATTTGCTTTTTAGGCTAGGGAATAAATCCGTATTTAGGTACCCGGTAAAAAGCAAAAGAACCCTGAGGCTCACAACTGGAAAAGTATTTAAGTATTCAGTCGATCCGTCTGCAATTCAGTCATTATTGGAAGCCTTGAGAATTTTTGTACATATGGTAAGTTAGATAGTAAGATGCCAACCGAAATAAAGGTATATCACGTAGTTATTCATCCATACCCTTGAAGAAATTCAATAATCGAATGGTTATATCTTCTCATCGTGTGGGGGAGGGGCAATCTCGATTTTTTTTTTCCACCTGAAGAAATGACCCCTGTCATACTTTATCTTACTGACTGGGGAGGTGCGTACTATAGCCGGCAGGCATTTATGTGGTCTGTGCGCCACATTACTAAGCAGAGGATTCTCTAGGTAGATGAGTAAGAGATTGGTTCAAACGTACAACAGACCATCTAGCACTTACGCAGGTACATATGGATATATTCCTGGGTATCTAACCTTGGAAATACTGTGCGTATAGTTCTCATATAGTTCTCAAGGCCTTCTGGGAAGAGCAAGTGAAAAAACTGGCTCTCATACTTTCAAGCAATTCTTATCATTCATCTTCACATCAACAATCGTCTACACAGTCCATCGTGCAAGAGGCCGGTCCTTGTTACTATACATGAACAACACCTTTAGCCATGTGGATTTTCATTACATCGTCAGAGCTCATGATCCCTGACACTCATATTCCCGAAGCTTGTCAGCCATTAGAATCAAGATTCAGAATCTCCCTCATTTCTTTCCCTTCTTACGCCCAGGGACCACCTTGAAGCCGGCACCTTGGATCGAGTTGGTGTCGCTGCTCGGCTCTTTGTGGCTGCTCTTCTTGGCCACCTCGTTCCAACCGCCAGCCGTGCTAGACTGCGTGTCCGCCGAGGGGCTCTTGGCAGGCTGCTTCTCAACCACACCTCGGTCAGCTAGCTTCTTGCGACGAATGAATTCCTCAGCGAAGTGGCGCCCGTCCATCGTCTTAGAGTTGGCATAGATCGCATCCGATATAAGATCGCCCACTAGAGGAAACCCAATGAGCGTGTTGGCGAAGGCTTCGACTATTTTAAACATCGCGGTTAGCAGGTTCTTCATTCACGTAACGCGACCAACCCCAACTTACTGTCCGTAACACCCGTAATTCCTTTAGCCAGCTGACCGTGGAGCCATTTAGTAAACTCGTCCATAGCTTCTGTGTGGGTGGCACCGGCCGTCGTGTTTGCGGGCTTGACGGCGGCAGGTCGTGGTGGCGGAGCTGCGACAGCAGACACCGGCTTTGCGGCGCTCGAAGGTCGTGCCTGGGAAGACGGGCCGGTGGGCGCTTTGACCTTACCGCCAGCTCCAACAGTGGCCCACCCGGACGTGTTGGCGGTGGGTGTCTGACTAGGTGCGGGGCCCGAATTAGGCTTGCTAGCGAGATCCGCGTACCGCTTTCCGGCGCTGGCTGCGAGGCCGGCTTGTACGGCCGCCTCCTTCGCTTTCTGCTTGCGCGCCTCTTCTTCACGCTGGATATCGGCTAGCGTTTTCTTTTTATCTGCGGATTGCGCCTGAGTAACCGGCCCAGATACAGGGACCTTTCCTGGTGCTGGCTTCGCCCAGGGACTACTGCTGGTCCCGGGGTTGACGGGAGATGCTGTCCCCCACGTGCTTGTTGTAGGGAGACCCGGAGCAGCGGCAGCGGCCTTTTCGCGTTCTCGTGCTGCCTCTTGCTCCAGCTGGGCACGGCGGGCAAGGGCTGCAGCTTCCTCAGCTTTAGCAGCTTTCAGAGCCTCTGCCTGCTGGATCTCTTTTAGGCTAGGTCCTTTGTGGGACTCTATGCCGCCGTCTTTAGCCCACGGCGCAAGCGGTGGCGGTTGGGCTGCCGCGGATGACGGGGTGATATCAGGCGTACCAGATCGGGAGCTTGTAGCGTATTGTTCTGGTAGGTTAGACTTGACGCGCTGAGGAGCAGGGGCCGGCAAAGGAGTAGCGGACGGCGGCGGCGGGAAAGGCATCGGTAGCCCGGTCGCCTTTGCGGCGGCGGCGGCAGCTTGCGCCTGCTGGTACTGCTTGTTTAAAGAAGCCGACTGGTCTCTTTCGACCTGGCGGTGGGTAGCCTCCGCTTCGGAAGATTCTTTAGGAGATCCGGACTCAGCAGTTTGAACGGGCGGGCTCAACTTGGATGCTTGTTCATTAGTAAGTTCGCGAAAGGGCGAGGTTTGTCGTTCCATCATTTCGGCGTCGTGCTGCGCCCGAAGCTTTTCGAATTCTTGTAGTCTACCTCGAAAGCCCTCGGTGTCTTCCACAAGTTCGCTAGAGCCCGGGAGCTGGCTTCGCATGCCCGCTTCCGCAGTGGGAGCGCCGATAGGCTGCGGGGGGAGGTTGCCGCCTACCGCCCCGGCACTGTGGAGGCCAGCTAACATCTGGCGTTCTGGTCCCGATAGACGAGCGAGCTCGTCTTCTCTAAACATGTCTAAACCCTGCCCAGAACTACCTTGTACTGCGGCTTGATGTGTAGCTGGCGTGTCGAAAAAAGAACCCGCAGTTCCTATAGCGCCGATGGGGGCTTGCGGAGGCATTGTGATAGGTGACGTGATGCTGCCGAAGCTCGGCTGACTCTGCAGACTGTGAGCGCTAGAATGGTGGTGCAATCCGGGGACGCCGGGAATAGGAACTCTAGCCATCGATTGCTGAGTAGCGTAGAATTCGCGGTGACGGGCCATTAGATACTGCTCCTCTTGCTTGCGCCTCTCGAGGTTATTCTGCTCTTCCGCCGTCAAGGTCCTACCAAAACTAGGGAATGCATTGACGAGCGGCGGCTGGATAACGCCCCCCGAGTTCGAGAATGGGCCAGTTTGAGATGGTGGGCCATGAGGTATGCCGATCTGGGGAACTAGGAAGGGCTCACGAGAGTTGCCAATACGTCTTATTAATTGGCCCAACGGCTCGAATTCCGAATCTTCTAGCTTTTTAACTCGTAAGTCTGGTGTGAAGAAATTGGCCTTATACCAGTCGTTCATCTCTAAACCGGTAAACGGGCCCTGTTGGTGACCCTGGGGATCAAGATACACCCATCTCATCCGGTCCGGCATGACCATAGTACGAGACTGGACCGAGGGTGGGTCGGACGCCTGGCTGGCGGTGAACGACGGCGCAGCACTGGTCGCCGCGAAGGCCTGGCTGTGGGGGGCACTCGAGATGCCACCGTGCAAGGGTTCAGAGCTCACCGGAGTGCGACTAGGCTCGGCCTGGGCAAACATCTCGGCAAAAATTCCCCTGCCTGCTCGCATAGGGCTATCGGTTTCACGAGCGTGTTCGCCGGGAGCGGTACGGCCAATAGCACCCAGCGGGTTGGGCTGACGAAGATCGGGTATCGAGTCGCTTAAACTTTCATTATCCTGGGACTGCATCTGCGCCTGCATCGCCGGAGGGAATAGCGAGCCGAGCTTGCTCGCTCGACCAAAGGACCCGGAACCGCCGAAGCCCCCCGCGCTCGAAGGTCCAAAGACGCCGCCGAGATTCCCGAGACCAGGAGACTGAAGGTCACCAACAGGGCCAAATAAAGAACCGCCGAAGCTTGAGAAGGGCGCTCGCTCGCGATCTGGGGTACTCGAGGATGGCCAACCGGTAAGGTTGCTAAGCGGTGGGTAGGCCTTTGCCCCGACGCTGGAGGTCTGGCTACGATCACTACCATCAAATGCCGCATGGGCAAATGAGCGCGGCATCCCTCCACCGAAACCGGAGACGTGATCAGAGACGCCGGCCGAGCCGTGTTGCCTATCACCGACGTCCTCGTGCTCACCACGTTCGCCCGGAGGGCTTCGGTAAGGATTCGTTTCCGACGGACTTAGAGGGGCTTGTTCATGTTCCGCGTGGCCCCCCAGGTTGAGGCTAGCCATCCCGAAATCGCTGGTGGAACCTTTCACCGGAGTGTCATACGGAGCGTGAAGAGATAGATGAGACATCGGAGGGGGGCTCGTATCTTGAGCGCCTCCTAACACAGCGCTGCCAGAGACACTGTCTTCGCCGAAGGGGTCGGTATCAGTGCGTTGCCGAGGGCGCCACGGGCGGTTCGAATCTGGCGCGGAGCTTTCGTTTGATTTGGTTGCGATACTATCGGAGCTTTCTTTAGGAATGAGATGCGCCAAACGACTTTCGCCGCGCGGGTTTCCGGACCGCTTCTCCCCGATAGTGGAACCCGGAAGGGCGAAGTTCCCAAAACTACCTATCCCTGGAAGTGCAGTCGCCGCCGAAGTAGACGTCGACGTTGATGTCGACGCTTGCCAAGGGGACGTACCACCGAACCCGGAGCCGCTTGGTAGCGTGTTGTTACGCATCAATCCACCAAAAGGCAGAGTCTTGGAGGTAGCGTCTCGCGCATTAGCGTCCTCTTCGGGCTCCTCGAAGGTCAAATCTTTGGCTTCCGTATTTTTTCGACTAAACCAGTAGGACGAATCTTCTCGGGACGGACGCGTCGCGGATGCTGGAGATGTTAAGCCGCCACCGCCGGAATAAGGATTCGTGTCGGTTGTTTCACGTCGTCTCGTACCAGGTCTTGACGAAGCCGAAGGCGAAGAGAGTCCGAAATTGGCGGAGCTTCCGTGGGAGAGCGAAGTCTTTCGACCGTTTACCCCTCCTCCGGGATGATTCCCGTCCTTATTTTGGGCGGGAGGCTTTATAGAAGAATTAACGTCGGATGCGAACAGCTGATATCGAGTTAGTCCGCGAAAGAACGGTACTCTACACTTCTGACCTTGTCCAAAGAGTTGGGGTAACACTTACCTCCTTTTCCTCCGCATTCATCTCCTGCAGACCGACAGCCTTGGTCAACCCCGGAGTATCCCAACAAATGTCTGGTTCTTGAGGGGCCACATGAGAGTCTCCGGTCTTACCCCATCCCCGAGACGCGGAGCCGTTGGCGTGACCCGGATTCCACCCGGGCGCGAACAAGGCCGAAATATCAGGTCGTGGGGAACTAGGGTCGCAGGTCGCGCTGAAAATGGAGAGTAATTGATCTCTCGAGTATCTCAGAGTGCCTGAACTTTCGACATTGGTAGAGCCGACAGGCATAGCAGATATGACGGCTGGGTCAGCGGTGGCCGATTGGGCAGTCTCAGAACCTTGCATCTGGTTTAAGGATTGACTCGAAGGCGTAGTCGACGTCCGGCGGAAAGTAAGAGTACCGCCATTAGCAGATCGTGCCGGACGAGACCTATAAGAGGGAGAAAGGACAAGACCCGGTCAGCTTTTCATCTTAACCAAAGATACACGGTACGTATGTCATGTACTAGTTCGGGGAAAGAAGAGCAACATCGTCCATACCATTCTCCGCTGGCATTCCCTCGACCATCGTTCCTAGCGCCTGGTCTCGTGTCACGGCTCGGGTTCTGTCCGGCAGCAGCTGAGGCGAAACTCGAAGGTAGATTTGAAGGCATTGTCACGGATGTGGAAGGGCTGCAATCTTTCTACAAGAAATACGGCCTATAACAATAGTGGGAAGTTCGAGGGGCGTGGGCGCAGATGGTTACAGCTTAGGTGAGAATCAGGACAGTCGGAGGGGAGAGAGGGATTGAAGCAGATTCCTATTTAGCTTCGAGTTTAGTGTTGTTACGCGCGATAAACGGTAATGTGGGTTACGGGGCAGCCTATGGGTTCATGCATACGTAAAATGGGAATGTGAATGCGGGTGTCGAGTGTCGAATGTCGGATGTCGAATGTTCAGGTAAGAGAAGAAGTTGTCAAACGAACCGTATATTGCATATGATGCTCGCACAGGGTCGCGTAACAATGGGGGATCGTATAGGGGTCGTAAAGCTACGTTCGTAAGCTACGATATCAATGAAGTGGTTTTTTTTTTGATGTTGCTCTGCAAAATGGGCGTCGGAAGTGTGTCGAGAAGTGAGTTTCTTTTTTTTGGTGACGACTTGGAAATTCCTTAATTTTTTTGCTTGTCGAAATTTCAGGGTGGACGGTAAGGTTTCCCTAGTCTGATTGGAGGCGAAAAGACACTAGCCACCCAATGTTAACCGTCAAAATACCTACTGAGCCACAAACAGCCCACTTAGCGCCTAACAAGATGCGAAGTCCAGCCACAATGCAGTAACTCATAATTCACCTAGGGCATAGAACTTCAATCATGACATTGTTCATCTATACACAAGATCGCTACTTCCCAGTCGTCCAACTAGACCCACGCTACGCTACATGTAAAACTATATCTTACCTAAGTACCTCAGTCTCTAAGCAAACAACCGAATTTGCATGAAAAAATTCCCTCGAAATTTTGGTGACATGTATTTTATTCACCAGAATTATTTTTCAGCACTACTAACCATAAGGGGTACATCGGTATGTACGTCTAACCAACAATTTACTCAACCTTAATACAACATCCTGCTTTGCTCCTTGAATTGGACTTCTTCACTCCTGTTCCAACCTTGACTATTTGTCCATCTATATTGAAGTTGGTAAGATTAATTATTCGAATCCAGCCGTTGGAAATCACCTGCCACTATACATTGTTGTCAATACAATCAGCACACATGCAAAATATCTGAAAATATCTGAAATTTATCTATAGTGAATATGCTCAAGTTCATCAATTCATAAACTCATCGATGAAATTCGTCAGTTCATCCCTTGACCAAACTACCAACTGAACCTCTTATAAATAGGTATGCAACCCAAATATTTTCATTAGAAACCCCATTGTTTACACCAATGCTTCAACAGCTCAGGCGTGATGGCCTTGGCAGATTTCATCGTCGCACTACGTTCCGTCGTGCGCTTCATGGCGCAGACAACAGGTTTGTGACCTGATTCATAGGCATCTGACATGCCGCGATACGAATCGATTAGCTTGACACCAGGGTTTCTGTCCAGAGCTTGAGTGTCAGACTGAGTCTTCGCCAGTCGGTCGATCCACTCCTTGAAGCTGATCAGCTCCCGAATACGGTCTTTCCCGTAAAATTCTTGGACGGTCGGGGCAAGTTCGGACCAGGGTACAGCCTGCGGATTCACGCCGTGATAATGGCCGCTAATCTCATCAGCCGGGAGCTTCTGAGAAACGCCGACGACTTCGAGCACCAGGTTTGCGATGCTTTCGGCCGGCGTCCAGTCGACCCGGTCCATTATTCCAAGGTCGTTCGGGAGGGCGCCGAGGTATAAGCTGCTAGCAATGATGGACGGGAACCATTCGTGCTTGTTCCATTGTCCCGCCTCAGCCTCAGGTCCGGCGATCTGACCGACACGGATCATAGCAGCCGGAAAGTCGCCCGCCTTGGCAACGTCCTCCAGAACAAGACTTCCAATCATCTTGCTACGCCCGTACCCGCCATCGGCGACTTTGAGATCCTCTAGCCTTGCTTCCGGAACTTCTCCGCTCTTGCTGTCCCAACGTTCTATGGTGCCTATCGATGAGATGAAAACGACAGCTACACGCTTTGCCGAATTCGTAGCGAAGTCGGCGATATTTCGAACGCTGCGGATATGCGGTTCGAATGATTCGACGGGCATGTTAAAGTTAACCGGCCACGCGTTATGGATCACGCGGTCCGCTTCGGCTAGTAGTCGATCATACGTGTCTTGCGGAAGTCCAAAATCCGGACGCGACATGTCGACGTGGAAGAATTCGGTCTTGGACGCGAAGTCTGCGCTAAGGCCTCGGTCTTTCGCGGCTTGCGCCTGACGTTTCGCGCCGCCATCCTCTGACCTATTCAAACAGACGATCTTCTTCACCGATGGGTTCTTAACCATAAAATCAAGCATGTACGAACCCAGCATGCCGGTAGATCCGGTTAAGAGTACCGTCTGACCTTCGTCCAGTGGATCGGGTCTCGCTCCCCGTCTCGTAGGAAGGTTGGCCGTGTATTTCTCCCAAAGCGTTTTCATAACCTTAAGCTGGTCATTCTCGCTATCGCCAGGACTAGACCTTTCTCCGTCATTCAAAATCGAGAGTATGTATCTTGCGAGTTTCCGCGGTGTCGGGTTCGTGTAGATAGCACGAGTAGCCAGCTTGGAAGCATCGACATGGTGCCCCGCAACTTCTAAGGCGCCATGAAGGAGTCGGGAGGCGTTGATGACGAGCAACGAATCAATACCAGCCGAGAAGAAATCGCTGTCCGGCCCTAACTCGCCCTTGAATCCTAGCCCGGTGTCGAACGTTTTTTTGATCGATTCTATCAGCGCATCCTCGGAACTCGTATCAATCTTCGTTGCGGAGGCATCGAAAAGGTGATCCGCCTGTTCGTATAACTGGTCGATCTCGTCCTTGTACTCCTTCAGCGTGCTTCCTCGTTGAATAGTCCCTTTGCCGGCACGTTGGAACGGTTTCTTCGGGTCGGCCAACATTATGAATTGGCGCGCAATCTGGCCGTGAGCAACGTTCTCTTTATTGGCCTTTTCAACATACGGCCATACTCGGTCAATAAGCTTCTCGGCCTCTTCCTCACTTTGTGGGGGCTTCGCCGGCTCGATAAGAAGCGCGGCTTGGAAACGGTCAGTGCCAACAACTAGAGCCCCTTTGACCTCGGGATGGCCTTGGACGGTCTCTTCGATACCAACCGGGTTCAGCTTTTCTCCGTTGCTGAAGACAATGATGTTGTCGGATCGCCCGTAATATATCCAATGCTGGGGGAGAGTCGGATGTGGTTTATACATATCTTTGGTATCGTACTCATTGATATCTGGGAACGTATAGAAAATCCCCTGGAGACCTGGATGCTTGTCTTTGCGAACCATCACAAGTCGATAGACATCCTCGGTGCCGTCAACCTTGCGCCAGTCCGCCCCAATCGCCTCCTCGTCAAATATGAAATACTGCCAAAGCTCCGGATTCGGCTGAGTAAACATAGGGAAAAGGCCAAATCTAAGAGACGTTAGATGATCCTACATAGGTGCAAATTCTTGATGAACCTACTCCGTAGCGCCGATTACGTTATTGAGGAAGACGCCATTCTTCACTAGCCTGTCACCGGCTTCCTTGTTAAGGTTCCCTATAGAAATTAGTATCCCAGACATCGAATTTAGAGATCCCGTGGGGTTCTAACCTCCGCCGAACGTGACTATCTTAAGCTTAGATAACGGTCGAATGTACTCTTCACTGTGGCTCATCTCCTCCAGCATTGCTGGCGGAAGCATGACCCCTTCGACATCTACATTTTCGAGACACTCGATGACTAAGTCGATGGACAACGGACGTTCGCCGATTCCAAAGGCGATAGGGGTGCCCCAGTATATCGCCGAGAAGATGAATACGTAGAGCCCCGCGGCGTGAAATAAAGGCACTAAAACTGTATTAGCGATGCCAACAATGAGTCTCAGGGGCTTTCTCACTCGGGAGGAGGTGTCTTTTCGCAAGACTCGAGAAACCTTTCATCCAGGGCATGGCTCCGCTGAAGTCTTGCGTTTCTTGAAGAGCATCGTTGATAGCTATGAGACCGTTCGTAAGAACGATGGGCTTGGGAAGCGCGGTACTTCCGCTGGTGTGAAGGACAGCAGCCGGCTCCCACTCGGCTTCCTCAAACGTCTTCTCGTAAGGAAACGGCTCGACCTCCTGCTCCGGAAACCAAGCTTCGATCTCGCCAACTTCGATGGCCTGCATATTCCGCTCTTGCAACCAGGGCTTAATCAGCGCCCGCTGCTGTCTCGCAAAAGCGATGACTTTGCAATCCGTCTTCTCGAACAGGGAAATTTGCCCCTCTTGGGAGTTACGAGGCGAGATTAACAGAGCCTGAAATAGTTGTTAATTTCTCTCCAAGCCTTTTCTGGGGAAGATGAATACCTTGTAACCGGCCTTGATCGCGCCGACAACGAGAACGATATACCGGGCATCGTTTGGGCCGATGTAAGCTATCGTCGGGAAGGACCCTGAAGGAGGCTTTCCGCACGTCTCGATAATCCTGTGCGCGACGCGGTTGATAGCATTCGCATACTCCTTAAACGTGACGACTTTCCACCCATCTTTAGGGTTCTCGGAGCGAGGGATGGAAAAGGCCTCCCGCGTAGGATCATCTTTCGCGAGCCCGTCGATTACATGGGGCATTAGCCGTCGTCCATACTTGGGCTTGCTGGAATTATCCGTCTTCTCGTTCGCGATCGCAGCCATCACTAGTGATTCTAGGAACTATGATCTTACAACTCAGTTCGCGAAGCTGTCGTATAGAAGATGATGAATATAGCTGTAAAATTTCGACGTCGTCGGTGATGTAAACAATCAAATAGGTAAACAGGTTGTCTTACTACCTTTCATCTTCCTATAGGGGGGTGCATTGCCCGCATTATTATACTGGCCGGGGGACGCTTCATCGCGTTTTCGGCTTAAGATATCGCTCCTCCGTCCTCCGGGTCAAGTATTGAGATGTAGGCCGTGCTAAAGTATGATGCATTTGTACAGGAGTGGAAATGCAACGGTAAGCTGCACAACATGGATACCTAGCAAGCTGAACAATCCTGGGTTTAACGACCTGTATTCGGGAGCCACGAGACCTCAGGGGCGCAACGTGGGTACGTGCTAACGCCGAAACCCGGAGATTTCCAAGTATAGGTCCAAGTGAAAAGGCTGGATGGGTATAACATGTAGTTACGTGGGTACGGTATGTCACCGCTTCAACTTGGGATCAATGAGGAGAAAAAAAGGACCAATTGAGATAGGGTAGTAGGAAGAAGTGCCGATACTAACCCGGACTTCCCGGAATAGTGTTATGATGCTATCAACAGGCTCTTTGGATCGACAATCAAGCCATAGTCTGATATCTATACTTTAAAATCTTACCTAATTCGCCTATTATCTATAAGGTGAATCTACGAACAAGCGAATCTATAGCGTACCTATTCAGCGATAGAACTGACGTGAGGGTGAAACTCGGTGTCTGCGTGCGTGTCTTGTGATACTACGTCAGGTAGTAGGATATGCCAGGCCCGTCAGTTTTCAACGTTATTCCCGACGAAGCCTCTAGGGATCTATTCGGGAATAACCACGGGAAGGATTTACTCCAAAGTGGGATTGGCCACAGTATTTGACCCATCTACCCCCTGCTAAAGCCGCAATACGACCCTGGATATATGAACCTGCCCTGCATGCCGTCAAGCTATCTTTTAGTAATATGTATACTGTTGTATATATCGTCCTGTGGTAGCTTTCGTTGTAATGTTAAACCGCTATGTGTTGATAATAGGTATGATGATTTCAGTCACTTCTATGTGCGGTTTATTCCCGACACGGCGAGGTTGACTTCCTAGACATTGTCAAATTGAGAAACGTGGCCGGGATCGACAACGCACTGTCCCTGGCTATAATTCGGTGTATAGAACCGAGGTTGTAGCTGGGTGGATGTCATGGATTGTGTTAGTGTCGATGTTGGTGCATCTAGGTTACGGATCTGCTGTGCAGGTACGTACGGGTTATGCCATCTACTAATCCTTTACCCCTTTTTGAAACCCTCTTCCCTTATCCCCGACATGCATTGACCATAAATAGTCGGTGCAATTCCCGACTTTTTGCAACCCACAGCTACGGGGCTAAGTGGGTTGTCACTTCAACTTCATCCGGACTGCGGGTGCTATCAAATATTGAATCTCGACTCGACTCTCTACGTTCAATCGGATATCATGTAGCACGAGGGATCCGGCCGGACCGGTACCGGCCACATGTCTCCGGGGGCGTATTTTACTTGTCTGCTGCCCGGGTTAACAAGCTCTACTTCATAACGCCGAATCTGGAAAAGTAATGCGAGTTGCTTCCTAATCACTAGCTATGCATACATCGACACAATAAGTTATTCCGTCAACTGTTGGCATGTCATAGTTAAAGTGATCAGTGCACACCTTCTTTTCATGAAGGATGCGACTCACAATCCTTCATCCAACTACCTCGTATAACGGCAAATCAATCATGCGGTAATTAGATCATGATGTACCTGTAGCCGGAAATATTCGCAAACCAGATTCAAAAGGTATAATATATCAAATTACTAGTAACCTACATAGGCCGAGGTTTGACTGGCTGGCGTTGCCTCTAGGTCAAGTACTGATATTCTACTTCCCAATCCTTGTTTACAGACGATTACCATTCAACGAGCCATTTTCTATTTGGCTGATCTGTTAGCCCGTGAGACGCCGAGAAGATCTTCTTGAACAAAAGTAGTGTTTTTATGATATAGATTCTCTGTCGCAGACTCAAACAAACCGTAGTGTGAACATACTATAGAATATTCAATTCATTCCCTAGGTACTGCGAGTTGCTTGACTAGTCGAGTTATTGAAGAGATCGTCCATATTGTACACCAATGATACAGGTGCCGATTTGTTGCTGACAGTAGGCTTCGCATGAAACGTAATTACTATACAGCGATATCAACCTATCAATTCTTACCATCATGCCGTTGAGATATTACAGCTTCTATTTCTCCTATCCATTAAGTGAATCACTAGGTATTAAACCCCAAGCCCGGGGATTAATGGATCATAACCGAAACACCTACTTACTATCCTTGAACTCATAATCACTAAATCAATACTTATGCTAGAAACCACACCCAGAAATATTGTAACTGTCCGTTACGTACCTACCTATATTATATCTCAAATTACGAAATTGTGAGATATCCGTGGAGTTTCATAGACATACTTTCCAGTTCATGAGGTTACGTAGGTACCTACTTATCTACCAATAGCCATTTGAGGAGATAGGTATGATTCTACGGAACAAGTTGCAGATGTATATCTAATACGGGTGGTGATATATCAGAAAGTCGCCTTAGAATCGAATCACGTTTTTGCGTTCAGTTCAATTCTCTAGATGTTTCTAATATTGTCTCTGTCTTAGACTCAATCACCCACCAGCCTTCACCTCCCAATAGGTCGAAAATATGGCAGGCTAGGTGGACTGAGGCCTAGGTAGGTAGTTAGATACGTACCTAACTATACTTCTAGAAAAAATCCCAGAACGAGCATATGGTCGACATAGCAATGACCATACTTTCAAGTATGGTAATTTTGACGCGCTCTCTTACTCATCCCACTACCCCTTTCACTTGCGTCGAGTTACAAGCGGAATAGAACTTGGTCAAGTGCTTCGTCTCACCACACCAATATTTAGGCGTCAAATAACCTGAATTAATCCTAGAAGCATAAACATAATATCAGCCTGATGTCTTCAATGAGTTGGTCCTGATGACTTGAGCATACATTTTCCATAGGATAAACGTGTAAAACTTCAGTCTCATGTCTAATGAACTTTCAAGACATCCGACTCAACCAGAAATTGGTTACACGTTTATCCAATATCTGATGGTAGAGATTGGACCCGTCTTGCTTTCGTGAAGCGCAAAGGCAGACTACGAACTTATTATTTCCATTTCAAGGTCCAAAACAAAAGGGAATAAAAGAACTTGAAACAGCTCCTACCCCCTATCGTACCGGATATCCAAAATGAGGCTTAAATGACCCCTGGTTAGTGCATCACCAACGGGAATGAATTTGGTAAGGTGAAAGCCTCATATCAACTCAGCCACCAGCCACAGAAACGGATAAAATCCTGGGGTTAAGCACACTTGATATAGGACGTAAGGAGTCTGCGGGAGAATAATTATGGAATGCAATCCAGTCTGGTAACAGAAGTCGTATTAAACACGACTTGGCTGGAAGAAACTATGAGCAGAGAACCTTGTGTTGCCGTAATCGCCACCCCTTAACCTCATAACGCGTGAAGACTATCGGTTAGAATAAATGACATGGTGGTATAAAGTCATCTACGACTGCTTCTTCTTTCCCTTGTAGAGGTACCTGCGACCTGTTAGTTTTCCCGGCGTGACGCAGTTTTGGACATGCGAATATAAGAGGTTCTTACCCTCCTAGGACTCCTTCTATGAGACCCACACCACCTAGAATACCGACACCAAGGCCGATGGGTTTCCAACCTAGGCGTCCACGCTCATATAGACCCCAGGCCTTATAGCCTAAGTATGCACTGAGTCCGATAACAGCAGTCAAGTTAGAGACGACTATAGCGGTGGTGGCGTTGTCGCTTAGATCGCTAAACCACTGAGTGAGGAAGCTGTCTGCTTTGCGCACTCTTCCAGCACCCTTCTTCTTGGCGAGATGGGCCTCGGCGCGAGCGCGCTCAGCCGCATCTTCTAGCTCTTGACGATTAGCTTGCGTCTCGGTGGTGACGTCCTGTTCCATAAAATCTGACGGTACTGTGCGGACCGAGGGTGTGTCGACATCAACGAGTGATGCGGTGCTTGCTGATTCGGAAGAGACAATCTCGGGGGGTTGAGGAGCAGCAGCCTACGAGAAAACCAAGGTTAGCCCGGCAATCGTGTGTCTATCTGGGAGCGAGTTTGCGAAAGAGGTTTCGCAAAAAAAGAGAAGAGTTTGATGTGGAGAGTATAGTTGAGATAGTGATTCTGAAGTGGAGTTGCGTACCTCTTCGGGCGTCTGCTTGGGTCCAGATGCAGCTGCGGCGGCGTACGACACTGTCTCCTGTTAGTTATGGGGATCTAGACCTGTCTCCATTCTTCCTTTTTGTGCTTCGAGAACGGTGGATAGGATTTGACCTACTCTTGATGTGTATTGTGTGGTAGGTAGGTATGGGTAATGTTGAAAGGGATCAAATGGTAAAATGCCTTTCTTAGTATAGGATATTGGGGGGGAGACAAGTTTGTGGTCAGAGTCGGGCGGATGTGGGTTATGGGCCAATATATTGGTGAAAATATGGAAGAAAAAAACGAGGCGATAGTGGGTTGAAATCTCAGAAGTCGCTATATGAACGAATGATCGTGACGAGTTGTAGCTGCCACCCCCGGTCCTTTGGCTGCGTACGGTCAAATGACGTATTGATTCACGGCTCCATCTACCTGCATATATCCACTATATCCACTAAAATCGAGAAAATAGAGGGGCTGAGGGGCTTCACTTAGATGCATATGCACGCAATCTGGTTTCCCTTTTGGAACATATTTCATCGGATTTGCATTTATCTGTACAGAATACGGGGTAACTGGGTAAGTCACATGTGTTACTCAAATGTAATTCTCTTTCTTTCAATGTTGCTACTTCTGTCTTATTCTCAATTGTTGCTTAGGATATCACTCTAGACAGAAGATCTAGTTAAAGTTGACATAAACACGTCCTTCCCACGGTTTCAAAGTTGATAGCACGGTATCACTCCTAAGCTTCCCCCCCTCACCATCAAACTCACGAAGCCCATGAAGCTCATGTCGCGTACTAACTAGAAGTCTTGCGATGTCTCCAACACCACAGCCTAGCATGCCCCTAACATCTAAGCAGTCTTGATCACTATTTGAAAAATTTAGAACGACCAATGCAGCTCTTTTCTTTCCCACATGGCCGTTGGAAGTACAGCCGTTCGTCCGCAGTCGCGTATCCTGAATCGTAAGGGAACTCTCCTTTACATACGCGAAGATCGCCTCGTCTTCGGCTTTCAACAATCGAAATGTCCCAAAGACAAATAGATCCTTATATTCCTTCCGCAGTTGTAGGATCTGTCTATAAAAATTCAAGATCGAATCCGGATCTACCATTTGCTTCGCGGCGTTGATTTCTTGATAGTCGTCGTGGACTCGCATCCACGTCTTCACACCTTCGTCCGCGAATCCTGCATTAGGAGAGTCGTCCCACTGAAACGGAATTCGCGAGTGATCGCGGGCTAGGATGCGTAGACCGTGCATTGTGTCTACGATTGCCTTCTCGTCCCCCGAGGCCAACGCCTCGGTGTAGAAATTGAGGCTTTCTACGTCCTTGTATTCGTCGATGCCCCACGTAGCCGGCATATTCGTCATGCCGATTTCCTGGCCCTGGTAGAGAAAAAGCGTCCCCGTCAATGTCGCTTGCCATAGCGCGAGAGTTTTTGCGCTTGCTCGCCACAGCTCAGGGGTTGAGCAGTCGCCAAATCGGCTCACCGCCCGCCCATTATCGTGGTTCTCGCAGAATACGGTCGTCCACCCGTCAGTGCCTTCGATAAAAGTCTGCCATTTCGCTACGATGGCTTTCATCTGCGGCAGAGTGAACGGCACATATATGTATTTTGGGCCGAACATGCCACCGGTTCCCAAGCGAATCATGGAAAACTCGAAAACCATATCAAGTTCCCCGGCCGCCGCCGACACGTACGGCAAGACCTGGCTGGGGTGTGGCGTATTCGATAGCTCGCCGACGGAGACCGCTCCGTATGGTTCGAGCGCCTTAGCCCGCATCTCGTGAATAAACTCGTGGATCCGCGGCCCATTGCACCACATTTCCGGCGCTGGTTGACACGACGAGTTCGAATCGGTGACCGGCGCATCGATATATTCGGTGCGCTTGCTGTATTTATTGACGGTATCAATCCTGAACCCATCCGCGCCGCGTTCGAGCCAAAATCGCATGGTGTTCTCGTATATCGCTTCCCGGCACGCTTCCGATTCCCAGTTAAGGTCTGGCTGCTCGGGCGCATAGAGATGCAGGTAATATTCCTCGGTATTTTCGTCCCAAGTCCAGGTAGAACTAGCGAAATACCCTCGCCAGTTTGTCGGCGGGATCCGCTGGCCCTGCGCGTCGTACCGCGCCGGTTTCCAGATGTACCAATCCCTCTTCGGGTTGGTCTTCGACGATCGGGATTCCTTGAACCATTCGTGCTCGACAGAAGTATGGTTCACTACCAGGTCAAGGATCAACTTCATATCTCTGGAATGACACGCTTCTATAAGTGCATCGACGTCGTCAATGGTTCCGTACGGCGCGTAGATTTTCTGGTAGTCCGACACGTCGTAGCCCATATCGGCTTGCGGGCTCTCGAAAACCGGCGATAACCACACGACGTCGACACCGAGCTTATGAAGATAATCGATTTTAGAGATAAGGCCAGGGATATCCCCCCAGCCATCTCCATCGGAGTCTTTGAAGCTCGCCGGATAGACTTGGTAGAATGTAGCATCTTTCCACCACGGCTCTTTGCCGAACCAACCATTCTCGCGGTAAAGGCCATTCATGATGTTTATGTTTGTGTGTATATGTGGCTGCTGATCTGCTGGGACCAGAAAGCCCTTGATAAGGCAGGAACAAGAAGTCAATTCGGTCATTCATTGACCCGAGGCGTCTTCTACACGATTGATACGACTGATATGATCGTGGCCGGCCATGGGGCTCTTCTGGGCATGATCGAAGACCCAGTATCGTACTTGATTCGAAGTCCACATCATCGGGTCAAGTTCTCTCGAAATAGGATCCGCGTCTAAGTTAGTGGCATGGCACCGCATGTGATCCTACGTAGTAATCATCTACCATGTAGAATGACGATACCCCGACGATAGAATGGTGTTGTTTGCCAAGAGAATATAGAGGCCCGTGTCGACCTGTGCCGACCCCGATAGTCATTCTCGACTCCGCCATGCTCCGCCTTCTTCCGCCTTCTCTCCCTGTCCCTTAGCTAGATATCCAATCAAAATGCGAGAACTCCGACAGTTTCATTCAGATTCCCTGACTTGATGTTTCGCTAAAGTTCTAACCTAATGGTTTCGCATAGCACCTATTCTTGAAAGGCAAGTAGCCTATATAGGCACAGTATTGATAGAACATCACTTAAACATGAACTACCTATGTCGTTTACCGGTCTCTTCAGACCATCCCCAGCTCGCCCAGCTGCACCCCGCATAAAATGAACGTGGTTAGCATCCCCACACCGAGCTAGACCGTGGTCGAGCTAGACGGGCCTATTTTCTCTCGTTTAAAGGTGCCTAGAGAGACTCCAAGATCAAGTTCTTAGCAAGAAGAAAATTGATAAATAGTTGCGGTAATGCCTTTGCTCATGATGTTTCTGGTCGGTCAGATCGAGCAAGCTATTTCATACCAGCACTTAGAATAGCCAAGCTCTTCGAAGCTCTTTCAAGTCTTGAGCGTCTCACAGCTAAAGGAACGTCGACATGGAACCTGAAAAACGAGACGTGCGTGATACCGAAACGGGTCATAAACCCGTCGACGGCATAGACGTGGCTCATAACGAGACCCTAGTGTCGGATGCCAAGCATGCCGCAGTTGCTGAGCAGCAGATGACGCTTCTAAAAGCCATCAAGCTCTATCCGAAGGCGATCTCGTGGTCGGTCTTGCTGTCGTCCACGCTCATCATGGAAGGTTACGATCTCGCACTGTTGGGCAGTCTCTACGCCTCGCCAGTGTTCAACAAGAAATTTGGGGTCTACGACGCAAAGAAGAATAAATGGGCTGTCTCAGCAGCGTGGCAATCGGGGTTGTCCAACGGCGCACGCGCCGGCGAGATCCTCGGCCTTATATTCGCCGGTTTGGCTTCGGACCGGTACGGTTACAAGGTGACCACCATCGCATCCCTAGTCCTGATGATCATGTTCGTCTTCGTCCTGTTCTTCGCCCCTAACATACAAGTCCTTGTCGTTGGCGAGGTGTTGTGCGGTAAGTAGTTACCTGGACGCCAATCATTGACTATATGCAAATCTAACGGCGCCTAGGCATTCCATGGGGTGCCTTTCAGTCCGTTACTCCGGCTTACGCCTCTGAAGTCGCTCCCATGGTCCTTAGGCCGTACTTGACCACCTTTATCAATATGTGCTGGGTTATCGGCCAGTTCTTCGCAGCGGCCGTGAACAAAGGATCGGTGGGTCGATCTGACGACTGGGCGTACAAGATTCCGTTCGGAGTGCAGTGGGTTTGGCCAGTACCCATTCTTGCAGGGTTGATTTTCGCCCCCGAGTGAGTGAACCTTGGGGGATTAGAGGCTTACTGATTAATACTCTGATCGTATAGATCGCCGTGGTGGCATGTCCGGCACGGAAATCGAGAGGCTGCGAAAGCATCTCTTCTGAGACTGACATCGCGAAACGACCCGAGTTTCAACGCGGACGAGACTATCGCCATGATCGAGCATACCAACGATCTCGAGAAAAGGATGAAGGACGGCCTTACCTATCGAGATTGTTTCAGGGGCGTCGACCTGAGGCGGACGGAGATCGTCATGGGCATCTGGCTTGTGCAAACACTATGCGGCCAAAATCTGATGGGCTACTTCGCGTACTTCCTGTAAGGTCACAGCCACTGTCACAGTGACATGAAATTCGGCGAGGTACGCCGATATTCGTGCTAACCTATTGCAGAACCCAAGCCGGAATGGATGCATCCCGCTCCTTTTCCCTCTCCATGGCGCAATACGCACTGGGAATGGCGGGGACGGCCGGCTCCTGGTTCCTCATGTCCCGCGTCGGTCGGCGAACAATCCACTTCGGCGGAATTTGTTGTCAGCTTCTCATCCTAGTCATCGTCGGTTCCCTGTCCTTTTCTAATTCCAACGGTGCCGTGTGGGCGATCGGCGCGATGCTAATCGTTTTCACGTTCGTATACGACTTTACCGTCGGTCCGGTCACGTACTCGCTGATCTCGGAGCTGTCTTCGACGCGACTCAAGGCCAAGACGATCGTCCTCGCACGCGCCGGTTACAATGCGAGTAACATCTTCGTAAATGTGATGACTAACTACCAGCTCTCGTCGACGGCGTGGAATTGGGGCGCGAAGACGGCTTATTTTTGGGCTGGATCTTGTTTGCTATCCGCTATTTGGGTGTTCTTTCGTTTACCGGAACCTAAAGGTACCCTCCCTTCTCTTCTCTCCCTGTCTCTAAGGATCCATGACAGCGTAAAATAGGGACTGACTGTTTACTTCCCATTACAGGAAGAACGTATGCGGAACTAGATCTACTTTTCGAGCACCAGGTTTCGGCGCGCAAGTTCGCCGAGACGAAGATAGACCCTTTCTCACATCACTTAGGCGACGAGCCAAAAAGGACATCGGAGCAGGTTCTACAGAAAGACGAAGTGTGATTTTCTTGAAGATAGGTATATTGTAATTTACAGCACATGTACCATGTACATGTCAAGATTAATCTAGAAACGCCTGCACTTTTGTAACCCAATATTCTGTTATAAGCCTTGCAAGTTGGCATAAAAGGAACCCGACCTCTGTTCAAATTATTCGTTATAATAGGGTGATTGGGATATCTACATCACACCTCCAATGCCGCCGCCATGGTTGGTAAGGTCTGCTGAATATGCTTGAGCAGCAATGCGTCGTAGACCGTCGCACCACCTGGTAGTTGCAATATTAAGCGCCTCACGTACTTCAGATCATCCTCGGCCGCCGCCTTGGTCACCCTGACGGGTACCCGAGCGAGGACGTTCACGACGGCGCAGGATATGTCGAATAGTTTTTCCGTTATGCCGGCCCCGTGCACCTGGATGCTGTGTATAGGTAAATCGCGAGTCGACAGCGTCAGGTCCTTCGCGACGTCGAGGGGATAGTGATAGGTACGGCTGCTCTGCGTGCTCTGCTCCGAGAGGTGTCCTAAACGCAGACGCAGTTGCCAGAGGACGATGCGGAGCCACAGTTGCGTTACCCTAAGGTTGGCTTTCTGCGTCGGGAGAAGGTCAGACGGGCAGGAGTGATTCAGCGCCGTGTTTATGGATATTTCGACGTCGTCGAGCGAATCGTGGGCCAACGTGCGCGACACCGTTTCTTGGTTAAGCAGGGCTATGAAACTCGTATCCAAACCTCGGAAGAGAGCAGCGAGACACCGGAATCCGCAAAGCGAGCGGTCTTCGTCGCTAGATAACGACAGTCCGAAGCCGTTGGTCGTGACCTGGAGTGTGATGGGGCGTCGGTAGCGGATTGCGTGAGACCTTTCGGAAACTAACAAGACCCAGAATAACCGCTCGCATAGCGATCTCGAGAGGCTATCCATCGTGTCGGGCTTTACTAAGATGAAAAGCGTAGCGGCTTCGCGCAGGAAGAAGAAGGCTTGGGAGTGGTGGAACAGGCTTGCGTGGCAGGCATATATGAAGAATACGAGCAGGACGGAGTCAAGACACGGATTCGATCTACGTGCTAGATGGCGATGCGCCGCCAAAGCCTCCTCGAGCAATAGCCAGCCATACGCGGCATTGTTCTCGGCTGTGACGAACGGTCCGAAATATTTGTCCCGGGGATCCTCAACCTGTAGCGTCACCATAGTGCATAGCCCAAGTAGGACACAATAAGCCTCGCTCTCTGAGGGGGCTCGCGTCCTGAGATTCGCGACATATTCCGGTGTCAAGATGGGAATAGTCGGCGCGAGACGCTCAAAAAAGCGCCCGGAACAATAGTCGATGACTTGTGGAGGTAATAAGTCAGCTTTCTTCTCGAACGACTCTCTCGAGAAGCTGGTGAACGACTGAGGGCTTGAAGGTAGTTCTAGATTGATAAAAAGCGGACGCGGAGCGGTATCAAAAGAATTTGCAGCCCCGTAGATCCGGACCGGGGCATCGGCAGATTTGAATAATTGCGAAGACGGATTCTGAGACAATGCCCGGGACTGGACTGCGAACCCGCTGCATTCGTCAGAAAGCCCGGCTCTCGTGCAACGCTGACACGGTCGCGAGTCGCTGCACGCTTTCTGAAGCCTCCTGCATCGCTGGCAGGCACGGGCAACCTGCACCCGTTTCGCTCGCGGTTGAGCTATGTTGCCTTTGTCGCTCTCTCTAGCCAGAGTTGCATGTGATTCAGAAGTGGCGGTAGCACTAGTAGCGGCAACGGCAGGCCTGGAAGGTCTGGAAGATTTTGTAGTCCGGCGGCCTTCTTCTGCGGGTAACGCTGTCATGTCCAACTTGCGATGCGCCGAGAAGAGGTACGACGTATCTGAGACGACGGGATAGTAGATAAGTCGGCCATGAGGGTTGTAACGAGGACAAGAATTTAATTATGGCTACTATTCGTATTGTCACTTTGTGCTAGGGGTCTGAGGGTGCAGATTTGGACATGGAATCGGAGGTTAGCAGCTGGGCAAGGCCCATCGCATGTACCTGCAAGCATCCAGGCATCTAATTCCATGCTGTCCATGCTCGAGAGACTGTGGGGTAGAACCAATGGTCGACACCTATTATATCACCCCTCTACCCCAGGCCAAGCCCCCGGTCCATACGTCAGCAGGGGAAAATGCTGCAGCTAAAAGGCCGAGATCCCCTGAGCAAAGGTACGCTTGCCATTCAGCTGCCGAACCACTGCTGGCACAGCGAATCAGCTACCATCCCTAAGTGGTCGAACAGCAGATTTCACCGTGCTACATTTGCCGCTTTACTGTAATGGGTAAGGCAGGGAGGTTAGAGATATCGTAAAGAGCTGGTTAGTGTCTATCTTGCCATCCATGGATGGACGTCTCACGCGCATTATAATATACATCTAATACACATATACAAGGGTTTTGCGCCGCGACAACGCAAATGATAGCCTGGAGCACGTTTGCACGGATCCGGGGGTTTCTCCATATTAAGTGAGGCCGGATGATGCCGTGCGATATTCTTGATGTCTGCCTAGTCGTCTAAGGCTGCGCCGGAGGAATATTCTGCTTTTCCGTTTCCTTTGCTACAGCCTCGACCTCCTTGTCTATCTTTTTAGATTCCTTAGAGGCAGCTGTCGTCTGCTCTGGTTTCGAGGCGGCATTCCCTCCCTCCGGGGTAGTTGTCTTAGCTACCGCCGTCTCCGTTGAAGCTTCAGGGGCATCCTCCGCCGAAGTTTCATCCTCGTCTAATTCTTCTCCGTAAACCTCGGGGTGAAGTCGGAAGCAGTCTTGCATATGTCTATTACGCATTAGCTTAGGACAACACGTAGGTTAGTACGGGGGTCTCCAAAGACGTACTGGAACTTGTCGATGCAGTCCATCCCCTTCGGTTCCTCCTTAGAGTAGACGAAGCAGCTAAACGCGGCCTTGAACTCCTCGCCGCAAGGCCCCTGAGCCATGCCACCTAAGCACGGGCAGTCCCAATTAATCTCGCCCGTCTCGGGATTGAACGCGCCCTGCTGGCCGGCCTCCTCCTCTAGCGCTTCGGGACTACCTTCGGGAGGAGGGGCTTGCGCATCTGTCTCAACATCCTTAACAGGTGCCGAAGATGATGTTTCCGAGGAAAGACTGGCTGTTGCTGGTTCGGGCGTTGACGGGGCTTTTCGTAATCGTTCTTCGGCCTGCCGGCGCTTTTGGGCGACTACGGCTTCCACGGTGGGGAGATCCTCGTCCGAGAATTGGGGAGGCGGTGGTATTGTTTTAGCTATTAGCCGCCAAACCTGTTAGTTAAATTTATATATACATATATGAGAGGATACAGGGTAAGGATTTCCGTACGTAGTGGTTCTTCTGCGAAGACCGCACTTGTGCTGTACCAATACACCGCACCGGCAGCTAAACCCCATCTTACCGCCGCGCTCTTCCAACTTCGCTTCTTACTGGCTGGCGGTGTCGTTGAGGCAAATCGCCGTCCACCGGTTGAGAGTGTGGTGTGTCTAAGAGGGTTTGCGACTCGCGGCGTTGACCGCAAAGCAGATCTATACATGGCGCCGGCGTACTTCTCGTGAAGGTGTAGAATTAGAAAAGGACTAGAGAAAAGCGCAAGAGGCTAAAAAGAACGCACGGGGTCACAGATGAGGTTTGCGAGAAGGGAAACGTGTGTGGGCGAAATTGCAGAGCGGATGTGGGAAAATGATGAAAATGAAAATGTTTTGTAAGCAAGGTCCCTCCAAAAATTTACCTAGGACGGGATGCTATTGAACAATGACCGATAACCTTTTTTGCGCTATAAATTTAGGGTAGCATTACACAGATTACACAGATAAGGTACATCTGAGATCTCCATATACAGGTACTCTAGAAGCAGAATCATATACAAGAAATACGTATTCAATCTGTATATCGATGTACCTTACCCGAATAGATCGGCTAACAGGTGGCCGGTGCGCTCAGCCTTAGGTGACGTTGTTGCTGGACGGATCACAATACTGCTGACGTCTAGGGCTATTGACGGACCTTCCCGGTGTAGTTTAGACAGGTTAGGTAAGTCATTTTGAGCTTCACTTTGGATCTAAAGATCTAAGTCTCACTTTCCGTTTGGAACATTGTTCTTTTTCAAGAATACCCACCTATGTAAAGCGGCATATAAGAGGTATTGATATGTTTTCTTGATATAAAGCTCATATTTATACTCACTTTGCTTGCTCGTCTGGCTTCACTTGGATTTTGTATTTGCCAATGTACATTTAGGAACAGATAATCTCTCATTGTCTTGTAATAATGGCTATGAATTCAAAAGGGAAAATTACCGAATGGTATCCCATTAGACAGTTCCTGAATTACCCCGGACACGACTTTACCTTGGTTATCCTAAACCAGCCAATCATAGATGAGGACTTATTCAAGGACATTTGGAGTATAGGTATACTCCCCGGCCTCTCTAATCTCAGGGGCGTCTTTCCAGAGATACTAACTGGTCTCATAGCGAAAACCTGCGTTGCTGCCGATGGTGGCGCCAACCATGTTTACGATCTCAATCAAAAGTCTTTATCAAAAGGGGGCCATATCCCAACTTACGCTGGCGATTATGTGAGTTTGGAAACACGTAATATCCGCTGCTTTGGATCAGGTGTTTGAACCTATCTAACATTGAACCGGCTAACATACGAGAAGGTAAACCTTAGCACGATAATTGGCGACCTAGATTCTCTATCCGATGAGGCTAGGACGTTCTTTACCACTAAACCGGCTAATTGTAAAATTATTCATGATGAGGACCAATACTCCACCGATTTTACCAAGGCTGTCAGGTTAGTCCGCAAAGAGTTCCCAGGGATGGATATCGTATGTATGGGTGGTCTTGGAGGACGGGTAGATCAGGGGTTGAGTCAAATACACCACTTGTATCTCTTCCAGACCTCGCCAAGCTACGCTGATGGAAAGATGTTTCTTCTCTCCGGCGAGAGCTTGTCCTTCCTTCTCAAGGCTGGAAAGCACCGCATTCATGTACGTGAGCCTAACGCCACCAACACCGCCGCCGACTTCGTTCGTATGAGCGGCGACCCGTTCGCTAAGTATGTCGGCATTATCCCGGTCAAGGAGCCAAGCGTCATCACAACCAAGGGTCTCGAGTGGGATGTCGAGAATTGGCCAACCGAGTTCGGAGGCCAGATGAGTACGAGCAACCACGTATTGCCGGAGACTCAGGTCGTCGAAATCGAAACCACAAAAGATGTGCTTTTCACCATTGCGCTAAAACAGATAACAGAAAGGGGCTGAGGACGTTGTTGCCACGACTAGATAGTAGAGTTTCTTGGGTATAAAGCAATTTTGTATTAGACCAATGGTAAACAGGAATCTTCGCCGGAATAGGGGGCGGAGACCATTTACCAAAAGCGACAAATCAAGTATTTGACTAACAAGACACCTGAACGCCTCGCTAAAAGTGACATGAATTCCTAGAATACAACACCCCATGCAATACGGAACAAGGAACACGGAACACAGGCCACGGACCATGTCTAGTTCTATCGGAGGTAATGCAGACACAGCCAGCAAAAGCCGAAAAACACCACCACTCCGCCCCAGAAGATCCACTTGTCTTGTTTGGCCCTCCTCTCGATCATGCGTATGGTGTCTCCGCTGACGCCGAGCGTATTAGCGACGCTATATAATCTCTTCTGCGTGTTCTTGAGCATCTCCCGCTGCGTGCCTAGATCCCCGAGCACGGCCTGTCCCCGCGCGATATACTCGTCTAGAGCGGTGTTGGTGTTCGCGAAGAAGGTCTGTTCGCGCAACGCGTGCGATTCTCGGGTATAGTCGTTGCTGCCCATGCTAAGCTGACTTCCCCCGCTGCCGTACCGATTTGGCGGGACCGAGGGAGAAGTCTGCGGCGGCATGTTCGCGTACGGGTTCTCGGGCGTCGCGGTTGCGAAGGGTCTTCGGCCGAGAAGTTCCGACCGGTTTTGCGAATGCAGCGCATCTTCGCGCCGCGTCTTCAACTCGTCGAGCTGTGTCCGGAACGACGACAGCTCGGACCGGAAGTTCTTGATCCGCTCGTACGCCTTCTCCTGCTTGGCCGGGTTGAGCTCCTGCTTCGCTAGCGCGTTGTATTCGTCTAGCGTTCGCGAAAATGCCGTCAGGGAGGCGGAGAGGGAGCCCAGCGCGGCGGGAGTGGGAGGCGCGCCATCAGGGGCTGAGGTGATGCTGGTCAGGTCTCGTTTTATAGAGGTAGACTGCTTGAGCGCCGAGTTGAATTGCGTATTCTAGCGGAGGTCAGATCGAGGTGTTCCTGATAGTCGAATATGGGAGTTTCTTACCATATTGGGTGTTGGTAGAGATGGTTTTTTGTTCGATTTCGGTTGGTCGACTGGGCAGGCTAGGAGCAAGGTCTAGTTCTCCAGGTGGGCTTTTTACCATGAAGTAGTAGACGGTTTGCGATAAGATGAATTGAAATGTTCTTGGTCTATTGGACAGATATTGAATAAAAAGATAAAAACTAGAAATGACGAAGCGTCGTTGTTGCGATCTATGTAATTATCCTATGTAGTTACCTAGCTAACACGTAGCTTAAGATAGCACTTTCTCCAATTGCATCTTGCATTTTACTTGCATCGAGAATCTGTACGATGTACAAAAGTGGGCACTAAGCTCTCACCGCCTGTCCAATCAGATTCCATATGCGGAGAAGGCGGAACAAATATTTCCACTGTTCCGGTATCGTACCTGAGTATATCCATATCCATCTACCTACCTACCTACCTATGCACATCTTAGCAGACCTTGGCCATTACTGTAATTAGAGTAACCACCGAGGCGCTCACGCAACTATGTATAGCGAAAGAGATGAGTGATTTTATCGCCACTCATACATTCATGAATCTTGTTCTGTAAGGCGTTATGAATAGATCTCTATGTAAGCCCTTATAAATGATACGCTTATATAAAGCGATATTGGCATGATCATATCGACCTGGTTGCTTTCATGACTTTCTACCTTCAATTATTCAAGTGAGAACGAGATAGAATTTCAATGCAATATATCGCGGGTCAAAATTCCGACTTGCGGGAATATTGTCCAACGGTTGGAGCCTTCATACCTTCCACGATATGAGTTGTGATACTTGCTAGAGCGATACATTGCCTCATTCAAAAAGCTTGGACATCCGGTAAGTTAGGTGAGCAGGAGTTAGCAACACATGGATAGCTGTTCTTATCTCGGTTGCAGAAAACAAAATATGAATAGACGATGATACACTAGAGTCCGTGAGCGAAGGTTTCTCGGTTCACATCTCCAGAGCTATACTAGCTTCGTCCTGTTTCCCCGCATGCAGTTAGGTTCGTTCACGATAGACCGGGGTCTATAATACCAACAGCAGCTCGTTACCCAAGGTAATGTAGATTATTATACCTCTTGCAGATCTGCCTCCCTCCCTTAAACTCGTGAAGTAAACATTGGCTTTGAAAGCTCGTAGAATAACCGTGTACACAGTCCTATGTAAAATGTTCGAAGTGAAGAATGTAGAACAGAACATACCTAGGTAGTTATACCTTGAGAGTATCTGAGCAGCTGAGTACCTGTATTTAGAGTTGGATTCGCTTGTTCCTCTTAAGCAATCCTTGGCTATACCAAAGCGGCGTAGCCAATTGTTTTATCTGCCATCGGAGGCTCCCCTGAAATCCCTGATATCAACCCGGCCCGTACAGAAACGAAATTAAATACCTATTCGAAAATCCTACATCATCCCTCCATCGTCCCTCTCTCTTGTTCAACACACACTGCATAGTAATACTTGATATCATTCCAGGCGTAGCCCATTTGCCGCCGTCCGATCGTTTCAATTGCCTTCCATTCGGTCCGCTCCTTACTAAATACTGTATTAATATATAATGTCTGCCTCTCGGTGATGATTAAACACGACTTTCGACAACCCCGATGGAGTTCGACAGGCCGGAGACCACCGTCTTAGGTCGCCCGAAACCAACACAACAACCGCCACGGACGATAGCTGGACCTGGGGCATTACCCGGAGCAGCAACCCCTGCCGGCGTAACTACCAGCATAACAGCAGGTCCGGTGAATAGGGCCGCGAACAGAACGTCGACGTTCGAATTCCGCGGCTTTGACTTCTTCGCCAATCGCGACTTCAATGAGCTGAAGAACGCGTCGCGCGCATATTTCACGCCAGCCTCTGGCTCTGAGAAGCATGAACGTCTGCCGTCGACATGGTTAGGCGATGCGACGCCACCAGCTAGTCCGAGGCCGTCTAGGGACGTTCGCGCCATCGGAGGGGGCATTGGGGGAGAAAGGCTTCTACCCCCGCTAGGTGCGCAGGAACCTCCGAACGAAAAGAGAATATTCGGACTGAGGAGGGTTCAATTCTGGTGGCTGGTGGCTTTAATAGCGCTTTTGTTGGTTGTCGCAATCGGAGTTGGCATAGGGGTGGGGGTGAGTAAGGGGGCGTCGAAAGACTCTACCCAGGCTCAGGCTCAGGCTGGCGCCGTCTCGAGGTTCGTAGTCTTTTGCAGCGATCGCTAAATAAGCCAGTCGCGCCTGTGATCATCTAAGTTTGCTAACATTTTCTAGCTCATCATCTGCGACCTCAGTGTCGGGCTCCAGTACGCCGGCAACAGCTGGCACTCCTACGACGCAATCTAGCCCATCAACGACTAAGACCTCGGCTATTTCCTCATCGACGAGCAATTCCGAGGGGAAAATCGATTGCCCTGCCGCCAATGGGACTACCTATCAGGTTCCAGGGTCGGAGAAGCAGTTCTTGCGAATTTGCGGCATAGACTACAGCGGCGATGAGGCCACTGATCTGCGGCAAGTGTCTACCGAGACCATGCTGGACTGTATGAAGAACTGCGCTGGGACCAACGGGTGCACGGGCTGCGGCTGGGGTTATATCCAGGGGGATACGGGAACCGAGCACACGTGTTGGCTCAAAGGCAACCTGAAGAAGCCCCATGAAGCCGATCCGAATTGGGCCTTTGCCGTGCTTTTATGAATAGACGAGGAAGGATAATTATACGGACAATATATGTCGCCTGAATGGGTGGATGTAATGGCACTGATAATGTTCTAATATGTACATTTGAATGTAAAAATAATATGATACCCTATGTATTGGACGACCCGGGCCCTTGATCAATTGTATTTCGATTGGGAAAACCCTAGGAATGGACTTCGGAATACTCTAGCTCAAGACAATATCACGACTCAAATTGCGTGGCGAATATAGGTATGAAGTGGTTTTGCTGAGGAAAAAAGGCATATATGGCGCTATAGAACTGATCACATGTACAAAAAATGAGAACATAACAGTTCTTCATTTCGGCATTACCCCAGCTATCCGTCGACTATATGCATCATTGCTCGTTTACGAACAGACCAGCCATACCCATTCCCGTTCCAATACACATACTTGTCAACAAGATCTTCTTCTTCGTCCGCCTGAGTTCGCTTAGACCAGTGACGATTTGCCGGGTACCTGTGGCGCCGAGCGGGTGACCGAGAGCGATAGCACCGCCTCGAGGGTTCATCTTGGTCCAGTCTAACTTTAGGAAATCTCTGCAGTAGACAGCCATAGTCCCGAATGCCTCGTTAATCTCCACAACGTCGACATCATCCAGGGTGATGTTGTGCTGCTTGAGTAGCTTGGGGATCGCTACGGTGGGTCCGATACCCATAATCCTAGGAGCCAGACCGGCGACGGTTGACCCGACATACTTGGCCACGATAGGGAGGCCGAGTTCGGCGGCCTTGGAACGCTTCATGAGCACCACTGCGGCAGCGCCGTCGGTAACTTGGCTGGCGTTACCTCCGGTGGTAATAGGGCCCCATTGCGCAAATGCAGAGCGGATTTTTCCTAAACCGGCAGCCGTCGTCCCCGGCCGAATACCCTCGTCCTTGGTTAGCGTGACGGTCTTGAATTCGCCATCGGGGCCCTTTATTCTTGTGGTGATGGGGACTATCTCGTCGTCGAAAAGACCGGCCTTCTGCGCCTCTTCGGCTCGCCTGAAACTCTCGGCCGCAAATTCATCGACAACCTGGCGCGAGATCCCAAAGTCCCTCGCCACATTCTCGCTCGTCCAACCCATGGCCATCATGCAGTCGTCCGCTTCTTGACTGTGCTTGGTCACCTCCTTGTCGAAGGGCTGCTCGAGGGCATCACCTCCGGCAGACATGGATTCGGTACCGGCGGCAATTCCTACCTCTATCGAACCTGAAGCAATCTGGTGGGCGATGTCGGCGGTGGCCTTGAGGCCGGAGGAGCAGAACCGGTTTACGGACGAAGCGCTCGTGGTGTTGGGGAATCCAGCAGCAAGAGCTGCGGCACGTGCTTTGTAAGCCGCTTTGCCGTCCGACACCTGTTCGCACAGGAATGGTTAAAGGTCTGTTTCTTTTACAAAAGTAATAACAGGGGGCGAATGGGATTTACACGTACATTTCCCATGCAGATATCTTCGACGAGGTCCGGGGAGAAGCCCAAACGTTCGCGCGCAGCCTTGAGGATAGCATACATAAGATACTCGACGCTGGTGTCTTTGAACCCGCCCTTCTTGCCTTTGCAGAGAGGTGTCCGAACGGCAAGCGTGATAACTATATCGTCCGGGTTTTTTGACGTTCTAGACATATGAAGGTTAGCTTTTCTGATTCCATGTCCTGAGCATCTGACAAATCATATCGATTGGATGTTACTGTCCGTACACCGTCCTTAACCAAGTCTAAGGATACCTAATCATCCATGATTCTCGGATAGAGACAACGGCGAGGGAACAAAGACGAGGAATTGCTTACATAGTAGCCAGAGGGGAACCCGGCGACAGGTGCTTGAGAATCGAATTGACTCTATCGGTAGCCATCTTGACTCAATTAACAGCGAAGAACAGATTAAGAAGACGAGGTTACTATGTTAAGACAGGATGTGGGAGGGACGAAAAGAGGATATCGCTAGCTTTAAGTTTTAAATCGTTAAATCGTTACTAAAACGTTGGCCACTTCGAAGCGGCATTGTCTACGGGTGATAAAGAATGGAAATGCGCTTTCCGACAAGTTGGAATCGAGGCAATACCTACAAGGAAATGGCTGTGTTACCTAGTATTTTGCCGAGGCCTGCTTCGGTCACTTCGGCCATCGGCAGATGTATCTGTGGGGATTCATCTTCTGTACCTGGTACGTTCTGCTAGCGCCTCTTAATATTTCTCGTCCAGGTACTTTAACATCTGTTATGAACGAAACCAATAAAATGCAACTTAGTGAAGTCCGGGGTAGATCCCTTGAACTTTGCTAAGTGCCTTTCAACTCGGAGGTAAGTTTATGTTATGGCATATGAAGAAATTCCAATACCTATAATGAGAGGTCCGTCATCTTATTCCTGCATTAAATATCTCGCCTAAAACGTGAGGAACACTCCCAAAACTATCGAAAATACAATTGCGCTTACTATGGACGCGCATCCTCTCCTCGATCCTGATTGAGGGTCGACACCCGTAGCAGTGACGCCCAAGTACCACGAGCCAATATCCGTGAGCTCCCCGTCATTATTCAACATAACAGCATTAGGGCCGACATTACTATCTCCAGACCGGAAAGAACCGAACAAGCTATAACGTTCGACGGAGTCCATGCGGTCAAAATACTCGGAAGACGTATTATAGAAAGCTTGGGTTGCCGCGAGGTCCTGATCGTTGAGATTGTACTCAGTAATCCACTGGCTGACGTTCGGGAATGCGGCGGCGTAAGAGCCCATATGACTCGCCAATCCCTCGAAATTCCCATACCAATGGATCGCAACGAAATCGTACGTGCAATTCTTCTTCTCGTCGTCGGTGCTGATCAAATCGGAGCAATTCCCGAGAAATTGCTGCAACCACGGTATCCCTCCCCACCCGCCCGTGCAGGCCGGCAATCCTAGCTTGACTCCATTGTCCGCGAGGGGAGCGATGTTCTTTACCCACATATCCGCCGCTGCTGAAGGTTGGATATTGCTACCGCCGTCATACTGACTATCCGGTTCGTTGAACCCTAGCACATGCGTGATTTTGCGGCCAGATTCGATCTGACCTCGCACTGAATCGAGGAACGACGTATCATTGATAGCGCCCCACAGCATAGGGACGAACTCGAATTTGTCCTGCGGTATGTCATCGAAGGCAGGCGACGGTATCGACTCATAGTTGTAGTACCAAGTCAGATCCGACCCCGACTGAACCCATATCTTGTTATCTTGTGGGCTGTTCGGGTTCGGGACAAAGACCAAGCCGCGCTTCGACGATCGGGTCTGCGCAGCAGCAAGGGATGCTAACGTAGCCAACACAGCGTACGAGAGACGCATAGCTGACGGAAAAGAAGTAGATAATGCTTGATGTTGACCTGGCCCGGCTCAAATCGGCTTTGGATCGAGCACAACCCGAAATCCTCGGTTTCTTGATCGATATAGACTACTGATTTCTAGCACGAATAGGGCAGTGAAACGCCAAAACGTGGTCAAGGTATTCTCGAGTAGAAAGCACAGTTGAGGGCATAATTAAGGCGTGGAAGGCTGAGGTAAGGGCAGAAAAGATATCGAGCACCGAGCTGAGAGAAACGCCATAGGAGATGTGACCTTTCCTTTTTCCTAACGTTTGCCTATCATATGAAATTCAAAGTATCTGACAATATCCAGATCTGAGCACTACTAAATCTAAAGAATGAATGGAAATAGAGGTGGGTTGCAGTCGAGTGAACGCGGCTAGGCTTAGCTCTTAGAGATGGCAGCTGCACGCACGACGCCACCCAATAGTTTCAACTTATCCCTATAGCCAGAAGGTTATGTTTTGCGCCATGAAGAACGCCCATCACCAATAGGCCGGTCTAGGCTCAACCATCGCGATATAAGGTGATTACTGTGCCGTCCAAAGCTCACCCAATCTGATTCTTCGCCATAACATCGGGTTTGGCTGTTAAAAATTGGTTGGCTGGGTAGGACATAGATATAGAGAGTTCTTAACACCTACCCGAAGTAGGGTTTTCAGTGGAAATATTGCTGACGGCATCACCTTGTATGCGGTGCAGCTTCGTATCTGCCCATACATCTTATCAGTACTAGGTAGGGTTCCATTGACGTCGACCACACAAGCTGACTCTATGCAGGTCATCATTTTGTCCTTGTTTACCTTGAGTCTAGCGCTGCATAGCTCAGTACGGATCTGACTTCTCAAATACTGAAGGCGCAGGGAAAATAAAGTGATAGAAACCCTAAGGCTGTCTCACCACTGCCGCGCAAAGATATACAGTAAACCTTGGCCATAACGATGCTCAAAAAACACCACTCTTATATCGTTATGTGAAGTTATCGTTATGTAGGGGTATCCACCCGAAGTGTGGGTATTGTACCTTGTAGGTATCTTTAAGGCTATATTACTAGCGAGAGTACCTCAGAGATACTTAAAATACTTTCGATCGCCCTTTGCCCCGAATTCTATTTTAGATCTCGTCCTGGATATCTCGTCAATTTGCTAATTTCTGGTTCCAAAATTTGTTTTAAAATAATATAAAAATATAATTGGATACTAAAGGTAATATTTTACTTTATTAATGCCTTGTTTACTTAGTCCATGCTGTTTTTGGTGTTGTTTAATTGAAAGTTGACTTCCCCATAACGATTGTTTTAGTGGAAGGCTCAAAAGTTAACGATATTTCGTTAAGGTAAAAATATCGTTATTTTACATACCAAATCGCAAAATCCCCTTGATAATATCGTTATATAAATATATCGTTGTATAGTAGAATCGCTATGGCCAAGGTTTACTGTAATAGCCTGAATTGTTAAAGCTTGACCCCTGTTGCCTTGCTTAATTTTGAGCTCTGAGCTTTGATGACGCGCATGAGCTAAAGAAAATTCAGGAATTGGTCTGATCACTGTAGCTAACCGACAGCGTCAGCTTAGAGGCGTGATAATTATAAGATCAGCTTGAATAAAAATAGACACAGGTAATTTCAATAGCGCTTCGCCGATTGTAAACTAGGAAAAGCTGCTATCCTATAGGATTTACTAGGTACCTGGAACTCACCCAGGCCCCTACCTCCACACATACTAGTACTTATGCAGTTCAAATAATTCAGGGATGGCATCGAAGAAGATAACGTCTTCGTCAGGGGATTGACTGTATAAAGCAAGATATCTAGAGTCTAGACCGGGCTCAGCAAATACCTAAATGAAGTAACCAAAATGTTTCATCTGAATTCGGTCTACATATCTATGACCTAACAAACAAGTCAGTATCTCGATATCTTGATAGGATACCTTATTAGCGGTTGCATATCCAGTAATGATCTTCGCATGTTTGCTCATTGTACAGTCGAATTCGCCCACGTGGCTGCGTGGGAATCCGAAATGTGCAAGAGATGGAATTTTCTTGCTGAACAGTGAACATAGTTCTTTTGTTGTACTAATCAAAGCCTGGATCCTAGCTTCGGGAATCCTTCCTCTTGCTAGGGAGGAAACCCCTGTTAGTATACGATCCAATAGACAGAATGGATTGCGTGCCGCCGGGTTCGTTCATAGGTGGCTCCTTCTAATGATACGCTCCCTGCTTTTCCGGACTTATCTATGCATATGTCGTATGTCGTATCTTGTTAGGTACAGCACCGCATTCATTCCCTCGCTAAGGCAACCAGCAATCAGTGCAATGCCGACCACTGCAAGATTAGGAAGATTAGAAAGATTAGGTGATACAAAACCAATGGCGAACCGGCAGCCCTATTAAAATAAGGCGAGCCCTTTTGTCGCCTTCGCCTTCGCCTTCGTAAGTAATGATTGTATCTTGAGACACACTGTTCCGCCATCAAGACGGTACGCATTTCCCTTCCCGCCTTGCCTTGGCGGAGCTCAACCGCTACCGGTACCTGGTCAGCCTCTACCTTCGTTTTGACAATGTATGCCAACAAGTCTTTGTTTTCCTGCAGTCAGCAGTCGGGCGAGTCCTCTATGGCACTTCTCCTGCGCCGCTCCCGCTGGCTGCTCCTGTCCATCGTCTTTATCATCACCGCCTTTTCGCTCTTTGGTCATGTAAAATCTCCATTTCAAAAACCCGTCGAAGAGTCGTACGGAAGACCTACGGAGCAGTCGACCTACGCGACGCCCCCAAGGCCCGAAGACGAAGCTTGGGAATTCGATTCGAAACGCGACAGCCTCAATTACGGTCTTTCCGATGATCAGTGCATGGTAAGTGATATGCATGAGGGACCCTGGAGGTCTAACGGCGGAGGAGTGATAATCCGATGCTTATTTTGTAACAGAGCGCATTTCCCGATTTATTCCAAGAAATCGACCGTGCTCGCGACTTTCTCCTGGACCAAAATAAGCGCATAAAAGAGTCGGATGTCCAAGTGGACGCTAAGGATGATTATACCGGTCTTCAACATGGCGAATTCCACGTTATGATTTCGAATGGAGAACTATACGTGATCAAGGAGAAGAAGGGCGAGCCGGACCGCTCCCGTGGTCTCGCCGCCCTGGCCAACTTGTACCGCGCCATAACCGCCATCCCAGACCCTCGATCGCTGCCGAACGTCGAATTTATCATCGATATCGAGGACCGCGCAGCCAGGGGCGAAAAGAACCCGAAACGTATCAGGTGGGCTTGGGCGCGTCAAGAAAGCAACCCTTGGCTGTGGGTTATGCCCGACTTCGACGGATGGAGCTACCCTGACGACGGCGTCGGATCGTACACGCAGTTTCGCGAAGATGTGGAAGAGCTGGAGACGGAATACCCTAACGGATGGGATGATAAGGAGGATAAGCTGTGCTGGCGGGGGAGTTTGGCAGTGAATCGTAAGCTACGAACCGCGCTCGTGGATGCCGCGAAAGGACACGACTGGAACGACGTCGAGGCCATAGATTGGCATAACCGTTCCAACATTCTGGATATGCGAGACTTCTGTCGCTTCAAGTACGTTGCGCACACCGAAGGCAATTCTTGGAGCGGACGATTACGATATTTGCACAACTGTAACAGCGTCCCCGTCATTCATAAGCTGGACTACGTATTTCATTACCAGCCTCTTCTGAAGGATAGCGGTCCTCATCAGGTATATTTTAACCTCACCTATGTAGCAACTGCGGGATGGAGAGTTAGACTAACTAGGTACTCTTACTAGAATTACGTTAAGGTGAGAAGGGACTGGTCAGACTTGAAGGCTCAGATGGACGGCCTCTTCGCAGACCCTGATCGAGCACGGCAAATCGCCCTAGAGTCTACGAGAGTGTTCCGAGACCGCAATCTCACGCCGGCCGCCGAGGCGTGTTACTGGCGCCGAATGATCCACAACTGGCGCGCCGTGATGGATTTCGAACCTCGACGTTACGAAACCAAGGCGGACGGTACCAAGGGCAGGAGAGGTATGAGCTGGGAACGTTTTGCCTTTAGACAGAAGAAGAGCTTCGAGCATGGTTTTTGGGAACCTGACAGCGGCGACGACGTAACCGAGTAAATACCACGCGCTTCGCTGAGCGGAAAGAGACAAAATACCCAAGCTCCCGGACTTTGCGACTAACCGGAACATGTAGAACCCTAGCTTCATTACCCTCGAGGAACGGCAGGTGGTTACTACGAGTTAGTTCGGCAATCAGTTGGAGACGCAACCATCATCGCGACATAACTGCGTCAGCAGCCTGCAAATGCGCGATCAGGTTGGCGTATAATGGGCCGCGAATTAGGCCGACCTTGCATGCATACATATACATTACGAACTGGATCGGTTCGACCGACACGATAGGCACTGCACTATCTACCATAGGTATGATGTATCATAAATGCATATGGAGGAGAGGCGTTGGAATTATGAGATGAGTTTGGCCATGCCACCTCTAGATGAATTACTTCGATCGTCATGAGACCCCATGGACTCTTCTATACCTAATTACATCAAGCAGCAAATTAGGATGAAAATATTTTTGAACAAGGTCGGATGCGGCCAATGCAGATAATACATGAAATTCGTTCATCCTTCCTAGAGGGCAGAGGCTCCCATCATTCCGTGAGGTTGTAGATCTTTTGAATGCTGTGCAACATGGCCTCGTGGTCCACCTTCAAATCCTTGAGCAAACCATCTTCGAATCCGAACACCCATCCGTGGACAATGGGGAACTGGTTTTTAGCGTAGGATTGCTGTACCGCCGCAGTCTTAATGACATTTCGGCACTGCTCGATGACGCTAACCTCTACCAGGCGGTTATAACGCTCATGCTCGTCCTTGATGGCGTCCAACTCGGCCTCGTGCAGCCGATAGACGTCTCGGATGTTCCTCAGCCACGGGTTGAGCAGTCCCAGGTCCTTCGGCGTCATGGCGGCCTTGACGCCGCCGCAGCCGTAGTGCCCGCACACGACGATATGCTTGACCTGCAGGTGGCGAACGGCGTAGTTGATGACGCTCATGACGTTGAGATCGGTGTTGACGACCAGGTTGGCGATGTTACGGTGGATGAAGGCCTCGCCCGGCCCCAGGCCCGTGATCTGCTCGGCGGGGATGCGCGAGTCGCTGCACCCGATCCATAGGTATTCGGGAGTCTGGCCGGCGGATAGCTTGGTGAAGAAGTCGGGATCCCGCTTCCTCTGCTCCTCGGCCCAAGCACGGTTGTGCTCGAAGACGCGGTCGTGCGTCTGCTGCAGATACTTGGAGATGTCTGACTGCGACATGGCGCGCCAACCGTTGCTGAAGCTTGCGGTCGAGCTCGAGAACTGTCGAAACTTTAGAATTTGCCGAGGGTTCGAAACAAAAGTTTGTTTTGCTGACGAGAAGAGAGGGCAGGCCACGCGTGCTCTATGAAGCATCGGGGTTGTCATGTGTCGAGTGTACGAAGTCCGGGAGGCGTGGAGGGAAATGGGTAGCAAGAATTTCCCGTAGCTTGCAGTTTCCGCGTGAGATTTGTTGAGTCCGTCCGGAGTCTATAGACGCCAACAACGCCAAAGACGCCCAGCGGCGGGGGATCTACGGAGGAACCCGAGGTATCTTGCGCTATTCTGTGTGTAACCGTAATTGCATGGCTTAGCTGGGTGCTTGTACCTATTCCATGTTCTCACACTGTATTTATCTAGGTGATCTAGGTGATCTAGGTGAATCGCTACGTAGAGATATATGTATGGATCTATCTTCGAACCCTCTGCAGCGCTTGGCTTCATTCTTCTGGACTTGTCTGACGCCACGAGCCCAACAGATACCTAATGAACTACGATTATAGTAAGCTGGTTGAGGACATCATAAAACAATTGAGGATGATTCCTGAATACATGTACGTGAGAATATAGGAGGGGTTTACACAGGCCTGACAGACATAACTATCAAGATTGTCAGAAGGTTTCCGTCATTGCTTCGACATCTTCACTTGCGTTTAGCCAAGAAACACTGGTCGCGATAGCGTCTCTTTGTACTTCCGATTAGGACTAGTTGTATCTATAGGATCTTGGGCTCTTTCCCGGCCCGGGGTAGTACATACGTCATTCTCCACTTGGCGAGAGATCTCGGTTAAATCTCTATTGAAATCTAGACTAAACAGTTTCGCGGAAGAAGTTTTAATACTTACCATCTAACTATCACCACCTATTTACCATACCATCTGCTTACTCGAAATGGCCTTATGACATGATTAGTCCAAGTGATATTATATGTAGCACCACTTTACGTCTATATAATAATGCGCCAACCCAGGCACTTATTATATGCAAGATAAGCGAGGGTACGAGGCTTAAAATTCAGTCCGGTTCGGCGTGTCTCTACAAAACGAGCAGAGATCCACGAGATCTAAAAACCCTACCTACATATCCACTATAAAATAATTTCACTTACCAACATCTCAGCTTCGACAAAGCCAAATACAAAAAAAAAAAAACTGCCCATCCTGGGGTCGAACCAGGGATCTTCTGATTTTTCCGTTAACCTTTTTGAGGGAAGTAACAGTCAGACGCCTTGACCACTGGGCCAATGGGCAATTGATATATTTGCTATCACGTTCAGTTATAGAACTTTAATACGCTGTCAACTTCGTTCGACCGTGATTTTTTCGCTTGGACTTCCTTAGTACATGGACTTGAATATTTTATATGTAACACCTTGGAGGTGTTACAGAACAGATGGAAATCTCACATGAGGTTCTTAACTACCTGAAATTTGAGATGAATGATCTCTGAAAGACCACCAGGTAATACCTAGGCAGGTTGTCTATGAATCAGTACTTATGCTTAGGAACTTCGTGCATCCATATTTACATGAATATCTGCATTAACCTGAGGGAATGGAAGAACTATATACAACGGGTTTAACTATGTTTATCCATCCTACCGCACTTAAGGCACTTCGAGAGTGCCTGTCTGGCGAATATCGCGACTGCTTGAACCAACGCTAATGTTAAAAGTTCCCGCAGGGACGATCCAACTTTGCTTCTCCGTATCCCAAATACTAATATCACGTCTCTTGAGTTCGAATGCTACGTTGTCCTTGGCACCGGGTTCCAATGCCAACTTCTCGAATCCGCGCAGCTGCTTCGGTGGCGTGGCTGCTGACTCAGGGAAGCCCACGTACAATTGCGCTACTTCGGCACCTTGAACCTCACCTGTGTTGGTGATTGTCACGGTAACGGTGAGCACCGTTTCCCAAAGATCAGCCGGGCCTCCTGAGATGATAGCCCCCGTCGCAGGACCAGATGTCGGTCGCCCATCAACGAAAATGTCCGAATAAGTGAAGTTGGTATATGCTGTAGGAGAAGTTAGCCAACGTTGTCATCTCTAACCAGAATAGAGGTCAGAAATAACTTACATATTCCATATCCAAATTCGTACCGGGGCTCGATACCGTCTTGATCAAATCTGCGGTAGTCGACGAAGAGACCTTCCTTGTAATCGTCGTTACCTGGAACGACGCTCGTGCCGTAGTCGTCAGCAGATTTGGCAATGGTGTAAGGCAATTTCCCCGAAGGATTCGCATCTCCGTATAGGATATCTACGAGGGCATTCCCATTCTCCTGAGAAGGAAGACCAGCCCAAACGATTGCCTTGACATTGGGTTGAGCGAGAACCGTCTCGAGGATGACGGGTCCGACGGCGTGTACGACCACAATTACATTATCGTTCGCCGCCGCGACCGCCTTGACTAGATCATTTCCATTGTGCCACGGGTCGAGGTTGTTACGATCCCCCGCATTATCTTCTACCGTAATGTACCCTTCGCCGCTGTCGGAAGTAATAAATACAATAGCCGCGTCAGCCCCATCGACAGTCGAGCTGACGGAACTGGTGCTGTCGGAAGCGGACAAGCTAATTTCGGTACCGTCTGCTTCAGCTCGCGCCTTGATGGCATCGGCGGGAGCGACGAAATAGGGGTAAGACGCGGTGCCCGAACCCCACCCCATGCCAAGGGCACCGGTATTGCAGCCCTGGTCGGTGCAAGCGTTCATCCCTTGTGGGTTGACGACGGCAGCGGAGCCGACCAACCCAAGCTTCGCGGGCTTTTTGAGAGGGAGAATGTTTCCTTCATTCTTCAATAGGACGGTCCCGTCTCTGGCGGTAGCGCGAATGTTGGTCTTATGGGTCCCTTGAACATCGGCATCGAGATTGGTCGCAGGATAGCCGCTGTCCTGACCGAGCAAATACCACGCCGCCAAGATTCTGCGAACCATGTCATCGAGACGCGACTGTGGTACTTCTCCGCTGCTCACAGCCTGAGACAACTTAGAACCCCAGTAAATAGATCCGCCGTTGAAATCAGAGCCGGGCATGGTCATATCCAGCCCCGATGTCGCAGCCGGGGCGGTAGAGTGCTGCGCATTCCAGTCCGTCATCACGTAACCTTGGAAACCCAGCTCTTTCTTCAGGAGAGTGTCGAGGGCGTACGGACTGTAGCATAACAGTTAGCAAAGGAATCAATCTGATGTGAGATAGGTGGGTGGGTAAGCCCTCACTTTTCACAGGTCCAGGTGCCGTTGATCTTGTTGTAAGAGCACATGACGGACGCTACGTTCGCGTGTACGGCATCGGCAAAAGGCCAAAGATAGATCTCGTGCATCGTACGGTCGTCCAAGTTTGAGCTCATAGTCTCGCGGTTGAGCTCTTGCTCGTTTAGGATATAATGCTTCGCGTTGGCCTGGACCCCGACGCTCTGCATGCCCTCGATAGTTTCCGCCATGGCGATGCCTTGCAAATATGGATCGGGGCCGAAGCCTTCCCAGTTTCGACCACCCGTAGGATTTTTACCCAGAGGACCGGACACGGGTCCTAGAAGGACATGAATGCCAGCGCCCTTCGTCTCCTCAGCCATAAACTGCCCACGCTCCCTCATGAGGGCACGGTCCCAGGTGGACGCGACGTGAATACCCGGCACGAAAGCGTTGGCATTCGTGGCGAAACGAATGCCCAGCGGTCCGTCTTGCAGACATAATTGGGGATAGTTGATGGAACTAGCCGCCGCCGTGTTTCCGACACAAGGTCCTTTATTCCAACCTACGCCAGTGACAATGTTGATCTTGTCATTCTGAGACACTTTTGCTAGAGAAGCATTGGCCTTTTCGTAAGCTGCCGCCCAGTCAAGTGTCGCGGCCGCCGAGGCCGTGGCGAACGCCACAGTAAGGATTGAGGATCGCATCATTGGCGATTTAACTTGAAATATACCAAACAACAAGGGTCTCCCGCACCCTCCGATATCTCGAGACGTCTCCCTCTCTTATATGAACTACTCGGTAAGCACATCATTTTCAGCAACGGCACTTAGCTCCACATTATATCTACTAGGTAGGTAATTTACACTCTAAATCTGTCAGACATCATGGCGTTATGAGGGCCCCGGATCTACTAGATCTGGTAATCGACGGATAAGTACAAAAAGGAGACATGGCGTTTTCTTGCCGGATTTACGCGCCCGGAATAAATTGATGCTCTTGTCCCATCTTGGCTACCGCCAACTCCTCGGCTCCCAGCCCTCCAAATAGTAGAGATCTCCCTTTCCGGCGAGGACGAGGATGGGATTTCCCCGAAATGCGATGTCCTTTAAGTGGGAAGAGGGAAAAAGGCTTTGGTCCCGGGCCGCATTAGCCATTTATTAATTAATGCCCCGTCAATTCTAGGGTTTCGCACTACCCATTCTTGAATGTAACCACACCAGCCTGAGTTTTCGTATCAGGGGTAGTGGCCAAGCTCTGACGGTTGATCTGTCCGAATCTGCCAGCAATTATCTTCATAACAGTGTGGTACATATGTATCGTTATTTATTATGCTACATAGAAATGCCTTATCGTTGTTGCCTAGGTACCTACCTACTACAATGCGGTATAGGACAGCTCTATGGATTTATGTCTATTCGTTTGAAATTTTAATTTATAAAAAGGGGTTTCCGTGACTATTTCGTAGTATGTTTTTATAAATACAACACCTTGCTAGCGACTCAAGCTGCACGTGGAATGAAAGTGCTTGAACCATCTCACAGGGTCCTAATATTAGGTAAGAAGGTTGTTCGAATGAAGCGTCTATGCTGAAAATAGCACGAGACACTCAGGACAGGTACCTACCTAGGTATACTCCAGAAGTTAGTTCATAGGAGTACCGCACCTCAAATATATTGCATACTCTCCATCAAACCCTAAGAATTATGTGCCCGTCATGAAGGCAAGCAGAAGCCAGGTAGGTATGCACATGGTTAAGGCTGGATTGTATGTGAGAAAGCATGCCAATTTCTCGGATCAAAGAAATCGCACTGCATACGTATACGATGATGAAACCCAGGAAGTTGAAACAGACCTACCAATTTTCTCAAGATGCTATGTTCTGGTTGCCCCTAGGCGTACCTATCTCAAAGATGGTCTATGTCTGACATGCTCTTTGGTCTGGGATTCTAATTCTCTGTTAGCTGAATTACTGAACACTAGGTACTAGGTATATATACGCATTGAATCTTTGCGCTTTATACGCAATGCTGCTCGGTCCTCCTAAAGCAGACATCGTGAGCGACGATATTTGATTGAAATTTGCGTCAATTGATATTTAGGGGTGGCGGAGTCGTGATACTACGACTGATCATAACTACGCACGAGTTGCCGCTCTTTGACCTCCATTTCAACATTTTTATTAGCACCTAATCTGCTTCGAAAACAAATGTACAAGGTCAGCCCTAGTCCACCCCAATCGTCGCAAAGTATGTCATGGCTTTTGCGTTAATCTCTTTGTCCATAGGCTTCCCTGCCTCCGACAACTGACTAAGTAGCTTGAAGTAATTGATATAGTAAGCGGGTGTGAAGGTGTTCGGAAATTTGCATCCTTCATCCAAAGTGCCCCAAGTATGTACTGATCTGACTGGGACAGTAACGTAGTCCCCTTCAGTGCAGTCGACGATGCCGCCATCCTTTATAAAGAAACGCATTCGACCAGAGAGTACCAGAAAAGTCTCATCATGCTAAAGGATCCTTGTCAGAGTGAATCGACTCAACTACTTGAATGGATATCATACCATCTCATGCCAATGCTTCGGCGGTCCGTCTGTGTTAGGAGGGACAATGAATTCGGCTGTGCCAAGTCGATCGTCTGACAGTCTCTGAGGTTAGGGCATCAAAGGCTAGGTAGAAAAGACCTTTATGGTGAAAAATGCGGGAAATTTGGACATACGAGTATTACTGCCGTCTTCCATCACGCGAATCTCTGTAGCTGTTGGTATGACTTTGAAGGCAGATTCGTTGAGGAGTCGAATACGTACGGACAGTTCCCAACATGAAAGTCTCGCCAGCCTTGGCTCGGACAAGGTTGACGGGGATATCTGGAGGCGTCATCAATTGTTTCGCTGCCATTTTATAGGTTGGTGGTGATAGCAGATAATTACTGATAATAATGATAATATAGGTTTCTGTTGTCAGTCTACGGTAGTTGAATGATTAAGTCGGAATTGAATTGAGAAGGACATGGAGGCCTTTTAACATTGAAAGTTACCCTTTGGAATTTCGACGATGCTTGCCGTAACAAGACTTGGCTGCCTGTGCTGCCCAGCAATACGAATGGGCCGAGATTCACTATACTTGGCAAAGCTGCTGAGCCATACGTCTACCATATCGTGATAGTACTATAATGCCAGATATCTCAAGCCAGCATGACTGTAACGGTGCAAAATATGGGCTATTTACAAGCAGTTAGTGTAGGGTGAGGTAAGAGTTGTCGTAAGTCGTAACGTCCGATCCATAATTCCTTTACCGGCACTATCGGATGTATTTATAAGCAATAGATGAGCTCCGCCTTCGCGAATTAGCATGGCGCGAGTACGCGTGTCCATCCTTATAGCCGTACAACGGATCCGGGGAAGCCCTTTTCGGGACCGACGTAATTGGAAAGATTCTGAGTCATAATGTACTTACTACCCAAGACAGCTAACTTCTATCAAGCCATTATGTGAATAACAAAATAGCTTCAGCCGAACGGGATCATAATATTGGCAGATAGCGCTAGATATCTCCTTTACTGGCTCAAGTCAGCAGCCAGGGACTAGAGGGTAAAATAACGTGCTTTTTTGTCCCTGGTAAGCTTAACTGTCGTAACCCAAGACAACACCACCTATCAGGACTAACTATATAGACCTACTAGGTCGTCTCTCAACAGAAGCTACGCTTACGTCAAATTTTCCCATCGCTGAGTCTCTTAACCTTTCCGTACCTGCACAGACGTAAGTCTTAAACTCCCGCGCCGAGACTTTGGCCTCGAATATCTCATTGATCTCTTCTAGAGTCCGATCTCGCGTCTCAGGTATAAAGGCCCATGTGAATATGAGAACTGCCATATTGGATACAAACCATATATACCTATAAAATCATCAACAGAGTACCGCCGGCGGAATCAAGTCTACTAACCCATATTTGGCGCTCCATCCCAGACTGGCTGGGTTGATGAAGTACGGTGCGGTGAATACGCCCAACCAGTTTCCCAGGAAGTTGAGTGCTGTGCCTACGCCGTAGGTATGAGCTCGGAGATGGTTGCTAGGTAATTCACCACCTAGGAGCCATGCGTAAGGAGCTGGCCACGTTAGCAGGGACTATTCCAACGGAGTAGTCTGGGACCTTGCATCCCAACGAAACCCTTACCGTAGGCGACATAAAAGAATGTGAACAGCGCGTTGAATGCGACTACTAGCTTAGCTGCAACCTCTGTCCCTGGGGCCACGGTCCAGGAGATGGCAAACGCGAGCTGGCATAAACCGCATGCGCTCACCCCAATAAGCAGGATGACACGACGGCCAACGTACAGGACTATGAAAACGCTGGCCAGGACTCCAATGAGTCCCATGCACGTTATCATAGTGGAAAGCGCGAAAGCTTCCTTTACTCCGGCAACACTGAGGAAGTAAGTTGTATAGATATTTAACTTGTGCTACTCGTTAGCCCAGCATATGCCCAGGTAGTAACGGGGAAGTGGGTATTATATTCACCCAAGAGGATCCTATATAAAGGTATTAATGTTTGAACTGTTTATGACTTTTTAAATTTATTTTTTTAATATTTTATTTAGAATGGATGGGTAGCGCAGAAAGCGGATAGAGAAAAAGGGGGCGGGGAACCGAGGAACTCACCATTAGCACAATGGAAGCAGATGACTGCTATGGATAGGAGAGAACGACGTCGGTCTGTACCCTTCCACATTTCGATCCATAGATGTTTCCCCTCAAGATGGCCTGATTGTCCTACCGTAGAAACTCTGATTTCTTCAAATTCTGCACGAAGCTCGGCCTCTTTGATATTTTTGTTGCGGAGTCGGCGAAGAGCTGACTCGGCACCCGCCTCTCTTCCATGTGTCATGAGCCACCGTGGACTTTCCGGGAAAAAGAAAAGAGAAATGGTCTGAATAGTCGGAGCGACAAAAAATATCGCTAAAGGTATGCGATATGCTTCTTTGCCGAGCATAGTGTGCGTCCCGTTATCTATCGCAGCCCCGACGATGGACCCGATGCATAATTGGCTTTGGTATACGGCGAATGCAAGTCCTCGAAGGTGAGCGGGAGCTACTTCGTTGATATAAACCTGAGCAAAGGTGAGAAACCAGCCCACCGAGATTCCTATCTGTATGTTAGCCACACACGACTTCGGCTCCTCTACACGTTGAATTGCAAAATTACCAAGAAGAAAGCGCGCAAAGTAGAGGGCTCCAAAATTGGTCGTCCCGATCATGACTGCTGTGGCTAAGTAATTTAACACCGAAGCTGCCCAGAGGCCATATCTCCTCCCAAACTTAGAGCTGAAGGGCCCAACTGACAGCGAGCCAACGAACGTTCCAATAGTCATGAGAGAGGAGATGAGTTGTTGGACGGTCGGGTCTATAGCCCACTTGCCAGCCGGTTCGTCGTAGTAGCCGAATACTCTCAAAAAGCCGGGCATCGCCATAAAGCCACCGACAAGTGCGTAGTCAAGGCCATATTGAAAACTCGAGACGGTTACGACGAAGCAAATAGCTAGGCACTTCTTATGACTTCGTATATCCAGCTGTAAAGGATTCGCTGATATGACGGCACCTACCATTCTTGCGATACTCCGTCTTCTACCAAGAAACTAGGTAGGTACTGATCAACTCGAGAACCGCATCGGTGATCAGATGTGCATGAATAGCATTTGAAGTAAACTCTTACGTATAGAAGAGTTATTGTCAAACACAACAAGTCTCCTATCACACACCACCAGTCCATAAGCTGCACCTGACAGCCCCCTTGGGTTACCATCAAGAGGTGTCCCCGCTCGCTAACCCCAACTTCCCCTGATTCTCAATGCCGATAGCCAGATTAAGACATAACCGCTCAGCTATCCCCGCATTCGCGGACGGCAGAGATATTGAAGGAATGGGAATGCGCATTGGAGTAGTCAGTGGGTTCCCCGGTCTCACGGGATTGTGCCTCACTGATATAAGTGGAAGGTTCCCTTATGCTAATCCAAATCTACTATGAATAGTACAGCAGCGGTATTGTAACTTCTGCAGCTTCTAGAGAGGAAAAGGATACACGTCGCTATTCAGGCTAATATATGATATGGGTTCCTTATCTCTGAATAAGCTGATCCGGGAACCTCTGAAGAGAGGATCTTCTATCGATCACCTTGAATATGTCGATAGCACGCCCATCATAGGCCGGGAGTATCCAACAGCAAAGCTCAAAGACGTGATTCAAGCCCCTAATGCTGACGAACAATTGCGAGATCTTGCCATCACCATCTGCGAGCGCGGCGTCGTCTTCTTCAGGGCCCCTCAAGATGATCTCTCTATCGAAGAGCAGAAGTATATCACCGACATGCTGGGAAAATTAACCGGGAGGCCCGCGGAGCATGGGTTGCATGTACACCCTCTTTACAATGACCCTAATAACCTTCCTATGGCAGACGGAACTACCGATAGGAATATGTAAGTAGGTAAAATCAGTTCAGTATTCGAATTGCGTTCTGACGGTACATTAGCTATGTCATCAACTCGGAGGCAGCTAAGAAGTTATATGCTACGATGAAGAATCGCCCCGGCTCTGGCGACGAACCCCGAGATCTAGGTCGCGAATGGCATAGCGATAGTATGCCAACCAGTATACCTATTCACGTACTGCAATTCAGCATCTAACAGCGATCTGATAGGTCTCTTCGAGAATTGTCCGTCGGACTTCTCCTTCCTACGAATGCAGGATACGCCGCCGGCTGGCGGCGACACCCTTTGGGTATCGGGGTATGAGCTATACGACCGTCTGTCGCCCCCTTTTCAAAAGTTTCTCGAAGGTTTGACAGCTACATGCGCGCAACCAGTTTTTGAATCGGCTTGCAAAGCCGGCGGGTACGAGGTCACGTCTCCCCGCGGGTCGCCTCTCAACGTCGATTACGAATTCTCTCCATCTCACCCGGTCATACGCACACACCCAGTAACCGGTTGGAAGTCAGTGTTCGCGGGTGTCGGTCTACATGTCAGTCGCATCAACGATGTTTACTCCTACGAGGATTACATGATCCGAGATTACATCATGCGCCTCATCACGCGCAACCACGACTGCGTGGCGCGGATGCATTGGACGAGAGGAGCTTGCGCTATCTGGAGTAATATATGTACTCTTCACGCCGCTACCGTAAGCATTCGTATACGTGCTCACTATTTCTCCGTATTGCCCTGCCTCTTTCCATTAGTGGTAGCTTCTCATGCTGATTTGGATGGTAACAGCCCGACACGCATCTCGTGGGAGGCATAAGGACGGGCGTGCGAGCATCAGGTATCGGCGAAAAACCATATCTCGATCCAGCCAGCACTGGCAGAAGAGAAGGGCTAGGACTACAGCGATTCTAAGTCTCGAATATAGTTGAGCTCGTTGCAAGGTATCTAGGAGGTTGGTAGGTACAGTACCTAATAACTACGTACTTCAATTCAATTTGCACACCAAATGACAGATGTATCTGAAATGTTCAAATTTATAAGAATATCTACCTAATCGGTTTTTAGGTAGGAGGACAGATATTACGGGCTTGAATAGGGGGTGGTGTTGTAGCGCTAGAGCTTGTCAGTGGCACCCGGTCCAGCGAGTCAGACGCTCATTGTGAAAGAATGGATCGACGATCAAATAACACCGATCGTGTATACCTGTGCCTCATTCATATCGTTATCAGAGTACCAACCCATTCGAAATCGCTTTCCTTCAAATTGCTGTTCCAGCTTCTCATTCGTAGTCCATTGCGCATTTGAAGGCAAGTGGCCAAAAAATGTCGAGTTTGCGAAGAGGCTTGCTACAGCAACGATAGTCCCCGGCGACTTAGGGACAGCGCGCCGGTAGCCGTGCGCCTCGGATAACCACACAAGTATGACATCGAGGAGAAGGATAACCGCCAGGAGACCTATTAAGACGCACGTTGCTACCTGATCCTGCATGACACGACCGAGAATCTGCCACATCTCCCCGTCGACAGGCGGAACGGGCAACTTCTCTTGCGCGACGAAGGATGTGTTGGCGGACGTATCATTCAAATACAGCCAGGCTCCCGTACTGTCGCGAAGCATCTGCGCTCGAACGATACCATGTACCTTCTTGATTGCAGCTATAACGTCCTGCGTCCTAGAGGTATCTCCTAGCCATTCACCTGGAATGGCATAACGAGAACTCGTTAAGGTGCTGAAGAGCCCATGGTCGAGGCCTTGGTCATCTATAAGGTTAGCGTACGGGTCTGATATATTATAAGTCGGATTGGACGTCTGAGAAATTGACTCGTGGAAGTTGATCGCAATCCGTTCGCCCGACGACCCCGTCAGGACTGGTGGGTAGTTTTCTAGTATCTCCAGGTTTGGGCCAGATAACGTTACCTGAACTTCGACCTCTTCGAAAGTCTCATTGCATACCATTACCGTTGCATGAGAACCATTTCCCCAGCCCTCTCCCTGACACTGGCCCCATGCGTATATAAAGGATGGCCACCCCTCCATGTCAGTCGACCTATCGCAAAGCCACGGCAACGACAGTGCGTCAATACCGAAAGGCCCGCCAGTGTCGCTTATCGGGCAAATTATAAGCCCACTTGGATGGTAGGTGGTCTTCTTCCCCCAGATATCTATCGTGACGTCGTCGATTGACGTCGTATGGTTGCAGTCTAGGACTGCTCTGGCAGCTCGGAGCCGACTAGTGACGGTCGAATTCGGCTGCAGATACTTTCGTGATACCGGCTCCGCTAGCTGATACCGTGGGATAACTAGATCTTCAAAGGTCCATGACGGGTAGGATAGATTCAAGTTTAGAATCAGGTCCGGGATATTGCTCATCTCAAGCTCGAATTCCTTGGGTGTAAGCCATTCGACTTGCTGTAGTGTAACAGGCTTGCTTACGCTGCGCATTTGGACCGTGAATAGGTTCGCCGTGAAAATTGGCAGCAGGCTGCAAAGAAGTACAATAGATGTAGAAAAGATAACTACTAGATTGCGCTTTTTCAAGGATATCAAGAGTGTTCGCGCGGCGGTCTGATCCACGAAGGACAGTGTTAAACCTTCGCTATAAGTGACAGCGCTCGACGAAAGAAGGGCAAATGGAGCAAGAGATCTCAACTCAGAGTCGCAGCTTCCAAAGTAAGTAGAGAGGCAAACGAAGAGCAAAGATGGAAGAGATGTCCACAGATAATGAGAGGAACTACTACCAATAGCATCTCCCAATCCCCCGTGGCGGAGTGAACTTTGCAGGAGGGCGACCAACGTGGCTAAAAAGCCAATCATCGCAAGGAGGCTAATCGCCCTGGAGATCGGACGTAAAGTCCAAGGCTGATACCAATCAATTGTTTTAACGTCTTGTGCGGGTGCTTCTGTGCGGCTGCCGTCGTCTGATTTCAGCCTCTGCAATTGAAAAGAAGGATAAAGCGGCGTCGATGGATGGTGAACGAGAGATGTGTAATACGCCCCTTTAGTATGCTCTAAGAGCTTCTTGACCGATTGGTGTCCGCGGCCGTTCAATACCTCGAGAAACTCATAGGATCTAGAAAGCAAAATCGCCATTCCGGCGAGCGTACGTGGTTTGAAGGGAACGAATCCATTCTTCGGAGACACTTCCCACAGTAACGGGAGAGTGATAACCATCGTTAAGCCAAATAAACCGACCATGATTTGGCTTATATAAGGTTGCACGCCTAGGCGACTAAGGTCCCGAGTAACGAAGCCGTTCGCGGAACTATTGATTGGTTTTCGGAAGTCGTAGTGAGCTACCTTTGAACCGTAGGCCGAATGATATAACGCCATTGCTCCCTCGAGGGTAGACGGGTTCGCGAAGTCGGATCCGTTTAGGCGCCCATCTTTCAACAGTCTACCTCCGACTTTGAAGGGTATGAGATCAGTCTCTAAATAAGGAGTAGCATCATAATCCATGATATCACCCACGACAAGGCCGCCACAGATTCCACTCCCAATCCACAGGTCTGGGGCGTAAATTTGAGCGGTATCATAGCTTCTCCACATGTAGTCGAGAAGCCCCCCACGGATTGATACGGTGGATTCAGTTCCCGGACGTCGCACCGCAGATAGTTTTGCGTTTTCCATCGTCACTTCAAATGGAGAAATCGAAACATCGAGGGTGCAGGACAACGCCGTCGTCTGGAAATTAGCCTTACCGGCATCATCGACTTTACCACCAATAACCAAAGCCACGTAGAATGGCTCGGATGAGTCATTCGCGTAGCTGGTGTCTTCCCAGTAATATAATAAATAAGGACCCCTTAGCAACCCCTCGGGATAAATGTTTTCTAGCTGAAAGCTCCTGGAGGGGATACTATGATGAGATGATATGGTGAAGTTTGTTCTTCCGTTCTTGGCAGGTATGATTGACACTGTAGGATTCTTGCAGGAAGATGAGATAGTAAGTCCATCGACAGTTACCGTTAAAGCTGTGCTATTTTCCAGCACATGCATGGCCTTATCTTCAAAGCGCTGGAGAGCCACATCCGGAACGAGGCTCTGCGGGTAATCCAACCGTGTAGTCCAATTTCCGCTTTCCAAACGAAACGGCCTGGGATCTGCGAGGGGATTAAATGGGATATTAACGCGGTCTAAGAAGCGATCTTGAAGGCGGACCTCGACGTCCTGCTTAGTGCTCACCAAGTGAGTATAGAAGAGCGAGGCAGAGAGTACTATCTGGACCCTTAGAAGCATGGATACGGTGAGGGCGGACAGAACCAAAAAATGTTTATTCTTAGCAGCAGTGATCATGGCATTCGGCGTCCACATCCCGGCGTAATCTAGAGCAATTGTTCGAGCGGCATCGTTATGCCGAGCAAAATCTGCTTCCGACTTCTGCGGCTGGCGAGCAAGGATCATCCAAGGCAGATATCGACATGCCTGATATTCAAACCTAGCCCAAAATGCGAGAATTAAAGTGAGGGCTATGGACTAAGTTAGGAAGCACTCAGATGGCTGATTCAGGAGACGTACCTGCTGGTATTGCCGATCGGCATGCATTGAGGATGTCTACTCCAACGAACACGAAACCTTGGTTGCGAATCGAGATCCCATCGAGCACCTCAAGCGTGATAATAAGTAGCGAAAAACAGACATTGAAGGCTATAACAACCCGTCGCCGAAGATACTTCGGCCGCCATCCATGCGACATACTACGTTTAATATGTGGCACTTCTGGGCTTCCACGCGTTAACTCTTCTAGCTCGATGGGTTCATTTTCAACGGGCGGCTCAAAGTCGGTTGCCGGGATACGATGCGAGCGTATTGAAGCCATGGAATTCGACGAAATCTCCTAGGAAAAAAAAATTTGGGTGACCAAGGTAATAGACTGAAACTTACAGAAGAGAGTATAAGATAACATGAGGACAGCCTTTACCTGGTTCGTAATATATATAACAGGTACCCTAGGCAATACTTAGACTCGCACGACGTATTCGCATAACGGCCTGGGTAGTCATTGTTCAGGTAGGTAGGACTCGGTAGCGCAATCCATCTTAATAGTAAACGTATTACCTACCTAGTAATACTTACGAGACCGCCAAGCTAACCTTGTGTCCAATGATCCACGATGATATATTTTAATAGTCCTTTAAAAAGCTTTTTCGTGAGTGCTTGATAGACTAGATATATACACTGCGCCAATGAGTGGTCGGGGGCGAACGCTTACCGTAACACGATACGACCGATCACAAGCATGAGGCGTAGCCTAGGTGGTAAGTAAAGCCTCATATAATAGGTATATAAATATGTCTGACAATTGTGACGCGGGGAACACAACACGATGGTCTAATAATATCCCATGTGTGACAAGCCAGAGTCAACCTTGCTCAGATGCCACTGCTAACTTCGGGGTCTTAATCGCGAGCAGGCTTTGGATGGCACTAGGTGCGCCTAGTACAACGCCCAAACCTAGGTAAATGACCACCGAAGGCATCGGTATGCCATTTCGTGCCACGCGTGGAGTTTCTGTACCTACTACAACCTGTGGCGACCGTCCTTGGCAGTGGCCTCTAGTGAGGCCACGATGTTCGACTTCACACTTGGGACTATTACCGCCGTCTTTCTCAGCCAACGGGATGGATTGGGTTGAAGGTCATCTGGTTGACTTCATAAACCGAGCTCACCTGGCATTCGTCCAAGGCGTCAAAAGTGCCAGTTGTAGATCCGAAGAATATGCTCTATGCAACCTTGACGAGATGCGTACGCGGTAGGCACTCAACTCCTAGACAGCGCCGCCGCCGGTGAGGCGTATACATATGTGCGGCTTCGTGAAGCCAAAAGATGATATCGTAAGATCATTCATCATGAGTTATCAGAGCAGTACGCAGCTTTATCATTCCCGGCGTTGTCGAAAATATGTTAATTGGCGTCGATAAAACGCGTGTGGGGTAGCGCGTATACACATCGGTGCTATCTATGATAGCAAACTTATTAGATCCCGAGTAGCAGCAGCTGTGTAATTTAGTTAAAATTCACGATGGCCGAGGGCGTCTTAAGCTGTTTTTTCCTGTCATTAAGACCAGGCTGCATACGTTGGTCGATAGTCGCTGTCGATCCTAGAGCAGTCGTGCTTTAAGGATTGGTGGCAGGCGGAAGATTGAGCCATCCAAACGAGACAAGTGATTGATCTAGACTGGAAGAGAGTTATTTTGCGGCGAGAATTGCATGCAATTCGAACAGCATGTTCGTAATTTGACTGGTGTGCTGGTGCTGTCGAAAGCCACCGTAGAAACGCGCAAGGACGGGCGTCTTTACAAGGTAGAGTCTTGCGTCACCGTGGGATTACATAGATCGGGCAGTACAAGTGGATACATTCCGTTTGCATGTTGACGAGCTCCCTATTGCTTATAAGTTGTGGGCTAACTAGGCAATTTTCCATGTGGCCGATTAATCGCATCTTGTAGGTGGACAATGAGAATGACAAGCCGTAGGGATGGCTGAGAGACCGTTGGCGCGTTGGTGCAGTACCTAATATACCCTCCTAACTAGTTGTGGAGCTGTAAGGGATGCGCATGGATGGATGGGTATTGGGTCCACTATCCTCAGGGCTGCGTCTAGCAGTCCCGCAGCACACCGTTCCAGGGGGCTGCGGGGGCCACGTGGGGAGTGAGCTCGGTTCCAGTTCACCGCGTGTTGTTAAACTTGTGATAATAAAGAAACCTATCCATGGGTCACTGCGAGTAGACATATGTAAGTAGGTGGGTAATTTATAATTTATTTCTACTAGGTACATAGAGTAACACCAGAGTATAAAGAGGTAGTAAGGAATTCTGTTATATGTATCTGTATCTAGTACTTGGAATATCCCTTTCGTAAAATTGGATTACTTATCGGTTACACAGGACCAACTGTTACCCGTTAGGCCTAACAGTCCATGCTTGGTGGCATATTGAATAAAAGACCATCCCCCTCTCATCGATGCCCTTCATGGTTTATCCCTTCGTTCTTATGTTTAGATACCGTTAGACGTTGACATTGTCGACACATTGGCTCATAAAGCGGAGGACTCCAACTAACACAATCTTGCTCGCCATTGTAGACATTGTTGTGATAGGGATACACGGCGCCAACTCCCTCTTTACGTGTTTATAGATCGGGCTTACGCCCATCTATTCCGCTCGCTCACGAATTTCGGTTCAACAGGAATGGTCCCCATCATAGCAGACCCGGACACATCGTCGGCCGCGACGCTGGGTACCGATGCTGCCGCTGAAGCTGACCTACAACGACATTCGAGTACCAATGTCGAGCGTGAGTCGCAGACCGAGTACGCGTACAATCGAGATTACCGATTCTGGTCCATCATTTTTGCTCTTTGTACTATGCAGGTTCTGTGTTCGTTGGAAAATACCGTCGTAGTCACCTCCCTACCTACTATCGTCAAACAATTAGGCCTGGGAAGCAGTTACATCTGGGTCACCAACATTTTTTTCTTAGCAACGTAAGCTCGAAGATTTCCTTTTGAAATGCGCCTCCGCTACCACATGTCGAATGGCTTTCTTGGAAACTGCTGAACACAACCTAGTTCTGTAGTGCAGCCCCTGACCGGCCAGCTCGCCGGCCTCTTTGGCCGTCGGCACGTAGCACTATTCGTCGTCGCCTTGTACACCCTAGGCAGCGGTCTCGCTGGGGGAGCAAATGGGCCGGCTATGCTGATCGCCGGCCGAGCCGTACAAGGCGCTGGGAGCGGAGGTATGACGGCCGTCATGGGCATTGTTATCTCCGATCTCGTCCCTCTACGACTGAGGAGTAGTTACCAGGCTATTCTTGCCATGACATACGCTGTCGGCATGGCTATCGGTCCCGTGGTGGGCGGTGCCATTGTCCAGAATACAACTTGGAGATGGGTTCGTAACTGGCGTTCACTTTAATTCATGCCGAGATTGTAGATCACTGACGATGGTTTACGTATCTTTAGGTGTTTTACATCAACCTCCCTGTCGGCGGTGTTTCTCTCTCCCTTCTGTGGCTATTCCTACGGGTGAAATGGGACAGAGAAACAAAGATACGGGATAAACTCAAGCGGATCGACGTCGCGGGCAACACTCTTTTGGTGGCATCCACCGTGTCGGTGCTTATCGCGCTAACATGGGCCGGCTCTGAGTACCCGTGGTCATCTTACCGTATTCTCGTCCCGCTGATCATCGGCCTTGTCGGGCTTATCGGTTTCTTTTGCCTCGAAGGCTCTACATGGGTATCGGAGCCTGTGATGTTTGTCCTCCGCAATTTTCTTATCCCCATCGTTATGTCCCTGCTCACTTCGACCCCCTTTTTACATTTTCGATATCCGACTAGCGTATTGCAGGTTCTCTAGAGATGTTTAGGTTGCTTGTAACACTGATAAAGCGCACCACTACGACGAGTAACATTGTTCTCTACCTTACCAAATGTCATTCACATCATCTTCGATGACTGCAGTGCTGACTTGGAATGCCGACAGGCCGCTTCGCCTTTTCGCAAATCGTACCTCCGCAGTAATATATGCGAATACCTTTGTCGTCTCGATGCTGAACTACTGGATTTTCTTCTTCCTGCCTCTCTTCTTCCAGGCTGTCCAGCTATCAACGCCCACTCGCTCCGGAGTACAGATCCTGCCCATCACCTTGATAGCCGTCCCCGGGGCCGCGGTCGGAGCGGTTGCCCTGTCCAAGTGGGGCAGATATAAGCTGCTCCACATCATCGGCTTCGCTCTCCTCACGGCCGGCATCGGTTCCTTTTCCGTACTTACCAAGGATTCCAGCACAGCGGAGTGGGTCTGTCTCCAGATTCTCCCGTCCATCGGTGCCGGCATGATTCTGGACACCCTCCTGCCGGCCTTCCAAGCAGGCGTGGATGAAGTAGATTCCGCGGCGGCTGCGGCGAGCTGGTCCTTCGTACGCAGCTTCGGGAATATCTGGGGTGTTGCGATTCCGGGGGCCATCCTCAACATCTACGGCAGTCGTTATGCCGATATCATAGTTGATCCAACTGCGAGATCGTACCTGCAAGGTGGCGGCGCGTACTCAAGCGCGACGCGAGACTTCGTCCTGTCGTTTCCCGAACCAACGCGTAGCCAGATCATCGAAACTTTTACAAGAGCCCTGAGCAAGGTCTTCCTTATCGGCATCGCATTTCCGGCACTTTCATTCATCTTATCTTTCGTAGAGAGGGAGGTGAAGCTGCGGACAGTGCTAGAGACGGAATTCGGCCTTGAAGAAAAGGAAATAAAAACCAAGGCAAAAGCGTAAGAGGTGTTTGATTTTATTTTATTTATATTTTTTCCTTGGTTACTTAGGATATGCTCTATTACTACTTAATTAATTTACACCGGTTCTATAATTTGTCCTTTCTGGTTACGTAACTTGTTTTGGAAGGTCCTATCTCTTCATCTAGTTTCTACTCCGACTTCCGATATTTGTTCTCCTTCCTTTCAATTAAGCTCGCGTGTAAGAAGCACCGAAGCCTCCACCTCCGAGCATTGTGTTTTATCCCATGCTTAACCGGGACCCTTGCTGCTATGAAGTCTACTTGAAGATACTAGTAAACTGAGGAACACATTATCCTCAGCTCCCCAACTCTCACGTAAACCAGTGGCCAAAGAGGGATTAAAATTTCCAAAGCAATGTTGACCAAAAGCGGGTTTATTACAACCATCACGGTTTAAAACGAAGGAAGATGATTTGATCCCAGTGCTTACGTAGCATTCGAAAGCTCAAGCCATCTTGCCAAAAGGGATGGTTTCTCACGTTCTGATTGGTCAGAAATATGTTCCAGGACGGCAAGCATCGGAATTTGGCCGGGTATTTACAGCATTTTACCCCCGGTCCAGCTTCCGGAACTACGGAGGTGCAGTAACACAGCCCCTTGGCACAAGATCACATTCTCCAGATAGAATCGTTAGTACACTGGTGATATATATGGGGTTTACATCGAAGGAGAATGATATCCGCAATACGAGGGGTACATCTCATCTCTTTTTGTAGCGGGGGGACTTCTCTAAAGGGCAACAGGTCTAATAGGTACTTAAATTCGTATGAGAACTGTACTCTAAGTCGGGTACTCACAGGACTAGCCTGGTGTAAGTTTAGTCTTGTGGTGTGTCCATCTGATTTTATGTACCGATTCCGAAGTCCCAGATCACGCGTCATTAGGTTTTCATGGAAAACAACAAGGGCGACAACGCGAATCCCTGGCTCGGAGATATTAGCTTGCTGGCTATCCTAGGCATGTAAGCCATCAACTAGCTAAAAATGCTCATCATGTATGTTGAGCTGATAAACTTGAATGAGGCTACCACGCAGACCTTAGCATCAGTTTTTTACGAGCTGGTTTCGCCCAGAGCACATAGACACGACCCGCGAGAATTGGCCCACGTGTGCATTGCGGATACTAAGGCACTGGAAAACCTACCGCATATCACATACTAGCGCATACCCCTTCGCTAACGCTAACCACCTTGCATAGGTATCTGACCTATGTTGGCGTATATAATCCGGCCAGGAGAGGATTGCTTCCAACGGGTCACTCGATCCGTTCCGTAATGCTGCATCATAAATTCTGTGGTGCACAACTCGATAAGCCGTATGCCGTTCATGTTAAGATCTGATCATGAGTCTTACGTTTATAAAGCGACCGCTGACATCAACGCTGATGTTCGGGTCAATATAACTACATCGGGCAGCAACTCCCATGGCGCACTATGAGACACAATTGCCCGGACTTTTGAGAAATACGTATAACCTATTCCAGCTTTCATATACCAGAAAGAACTAAACAAATTAACCATTGGAATGGTATAGTCTAGTGACGATTTCGGAGTGAGTAAGGAATATGCGGTCGTGACATTGACCGAGAGCGATTTACACGAAGGTGTCATATAAGGAGAATACTATCCAGGAGGCTACGCGTAACGGTAACTAAAAGTAGCCCACTGCTTTTATAGCAGCCATCGTCCCCTATGACTTTTTTACATAAACTAAACTCATCTGTTCCAGTTGGTGTACCTGTGGCTGGGCCCTACTGGTGCAGCCGACGGGTGAGCAGTCAGTAACCAAAAGGGCAGCGATCAGCTGATGGCAAGCATGTTTCACTGTTTAGTAAAGCTGGCACAGCAGCTGCTAGATACCCTAGTGACCCTGTGTTAGCTTTGTTGGGGCTCTATTTATAACCGGATGCTAACCCATGGAGAGCTGTTAGCCATAGTTTGTTTGCTTCGTCGTTGGTAATAATATAGTATGCAAATTTAAGCCTGACTAGAATCGCCCGGACCCCTCGCTCTGCCACACCACTACTACTATGCAGCATGTAATCACCGTATCTTCCTTCCTGATCGTACAAACTCTGTGTCCTATGCCAGTACCCTAAACACCGAACAGGGCCAAAATACATGTTGGCGCAGGTGCAGTCTTCTTTGATGCAGGGGTTCAATGTTTGTTGTCCAAGGGTCTTGAGGCAACACGCATGCGCATGGACTAGCATAAGCTGTATGTTGGTCGATAATCGTAACGTCTGCCATTCCTGGGATTTAATTGGCCAGAATGTTGCTCTGAAGCCCTCGGCACCGGTAAGGGATCAACTCAACCCTTTGACCCCGCCGTACATTGGTTGAACATATTATGGCTCTTTGTCACTCCTTCAATGATTTGAAGCCAAAATCCTCGGATAGACATCAATTTCGATCTCTATTGCCTATATCCCGCCTCGAATTGTACCTACTGCTCCCTCCAACGACTTCAGCAATCCATCACCAAAATGTCTTCGGAGACCTACGACATCGTCATCATCGGCGGGGGGACCTCGGGCCTCGTTTTGGCCAACCGCCTCTCTGAGGACCCGGACCTGCAAGTTATCGTTCTAGAAACCGGCGAAGACCGTAGCGCGGACCCGAACACCCTAACACCCGGTGCTTGGCCGCTGCTGTCGAACTCACCAGCTGACTGGACATTCCATACGGCCCCCCAAAAAGATCTCGCAAGGCAGATCACAATCCCGCAAGGTAAAGCTTTAGGAGGCTCTTCCGCAATTAATAGTTTCCTCTTTACCCCTACGTCTAAGGCTACCGTGGAAGCGTGGAAGAGCCTGGGTAACGAGGGCTGGGACTACGCGTCATACGAGGAAGCGATGAAGAAGTCGTTTACTCTGCATAAGCACTCGGGTGCGACCGAAGGCAGCGGCCCCCTCCAGCTCACGCTAGCCACACCCGAGAGTCATTGGGAAAAAGCCTGGATCGACGGGCTGAAAACCGTAGGATTGCCGGAAAGCGATCCCCTCTCGGGCAATCTCGGCGGACCGATCATTGCCCCGGAGTCTATCGATCCCAGAACAAAGCAGAGGAGCTACGCTACCAACGCGTATCTCGATCCAGTTCGAAATAGACCAAACTTGGCGATTCGAACCGAGACCACCGTGACCAAAGTATTACTCGAAAAGGCTTCACCAACCGGCGATGCCGTCGCTAAAGGAGTTCAATTTATCTCCAAAGACGGAGTTTCCCGCACTATCGGAGCTCGTAAAGAGGTCGTCATCTCCGCCGGGGCCATCAACTCACCCCGAGTCCTCGAGCTCTCGGGCATAGGCGGGGCTGATCTGCTCCGGCGTTTGGGAATCGACGTCGTAGTTGACAACCCACACGTCGGCGAGAATCTCCAAAACCACCTCTTCACCGGACTAGTGTTCGAAGCACGCGACGATGTGGAGACTATCGATGCCTTTTTCCGCCAGGAGCCCGACGCCGTCGCTCTCGCCATGCAGAACTACGGTACCAAGGGGACGGGTCCTCTGAGTACCAGCAACATGATAACCATGGCCCAGCTCCCGCTGCCCGAACTGCACACCGAAGACGGACAAAAAGACCTTGATCGGTTGCTAAGCCTCCTGGATCCCGACTCGGACGCAACCCGCTCTCCACCGACCACGCCGGTCTTCGCCGCCGCACACCAGGCTTTCGTACGCTCGATCCTCACAAATTCCTCGGAACCAGTAGGCAATTACGTCTTCGGTCCAGCGTACGCGCCATTCGACGCTCCTAGCCCCACTCATCGCGCTCCCGGCAAATACGTCTCCATCGCGATCGAGCTGTCGCACCCGCTCTCCCGCGGTTCCGCGCATATCACCAGCGCCGCACCGGAGCACGCCAGCACCAACGAAGGTCTAGTTATCGATCCTCGCTACCTTTCCCACCCGCTGGACCTCGAGGTACTCGCACGCCAGGTCCGCTTCACGGAGGACATCATCAGCCGCTCGGAACCGCTCACACGCTACCTCAAGCCGTATACTAAGCGGTTTACGGATCTGGAAGTAACGAAAGATTACATTCGCCGGACGGCAGACGGTGCTTACCACTTCACCGGCACATGCTCGATGATGCCACGCGCCATGGGTGGCGTGGTGGACAACAAACTGCGCGTCTACGGCTGCGCCAACCTCCGCGTGTGCGATGCGAGCATCGTACCCCTGGAGCCGACGGCAAACCCCCAAGCAGTCGTCTACGCAGTTGCCGAGCTGGGCGCCGGCTTTATCAAGGCGGACGTACAGTGAGCGTAGGCAGCGCCCGGAGGGTCTACTGAGTCTTATGCGTAGGTCGTATGAGTAGGTCGTGTGAGTAGGTAGAAAGATGATGATATGTGAAGACTCTTGGAGATTCTTTGAAGATTGATTCCGCGGCGACCGAAAAGAGAAGAAAACCCTCACAAAAATCCAAGTCACACCTGTCTTTGGTTTTCATATCAACTCTTACTTCACACTTGATACCTAATCTAGTCTCTGCTGCCGAACCAATTTTACCTCAAGTACCTTGTCGGAAACCGTCTTTCCGGGCATGGGAAGACTTAACTATTCCAAATATTGATCTTCTACTTTAAGTCGTGTACCTTGTAATGACCCAAGGTAGACTTTGGCAAGGTTATTTTTATCACCGTGTTGTCAGGACACCCCGTAGATCGTTGGTCAGTCACAAATGTTCTTACTTATTTGGTCACCATATAAAAGGTGGACCCCAAGGACCGAAGAGAGGATAATCGAGCTATGAGGTAGGCATGTGAGGTTGCTGATGCTTGACCTTCATGGCAGAGCCTTGCCGAAGTCTCATCACATTCTACTTAGTATCGTATTAGATGCAATCCTGGTGCAAACCTGATTATTCCCGGTCCAAGTGAGAAACACCCGTCGACTAGTAACATTACAATCGGCTACAGCTAATGGCCAATATGCGGACGTCTTCAACGCTCACCTTTGCCATCAGCGAAAGTGGTGAAGTTCAATGAAACCCCAATACCCTATGGGATATCGGCATAGAATGCTATACGGTCTCAAAGGGTTGGATCGTTCTTGTTTCCTGTGAATCCTCTCTGAGCAAGGCCATAGCAGACTCCAAGGGGTTTCCAGACGATCCAGGTACCAAACTGGTCTGTATCATGTGCAAATGAGCGACAATGCTTGTCAACGTCGTCGCTGCATTGTACGTAAACATGGCCGGCGCGGAAAAGCCACCGATCCTAGATAAATGGCTGGTATCTCCGGAGATGTAGAAATCATACAAGAAAAACAGTATCCTTAGACTCCTGGATACAACCCAGCAAGCGATAGACTAATGAGTCACGCATCTTCCGGCGAGTGTTTCATGCGCAACATATTTCTAACAAGCACTCCCAGCGGTAATTGGTTCACATTGTGCTTAAAAACCACGCTTCCATCATAATGAAAGCAGCTGAGGTACGCGATGCTCTTATAAAGGAGTTGGAGGACCATATGGAGACGGCGGCTTCAAGACTCAGTGCGTATTCCAGCCATTTCCGCGCTCATTTATCCAGGGATCTTTAGAAACAGGTGGAAACAATACGGGCCTCGAACTACATGACAGCGATGGAATTATCTGAGGACTCCACGTGATGGTCAGGACGCGGGAGCTGGGGACTTGGGCTTTGCCTCTACTGCGACGAGTTTATGAGGGCGTGCGGGAGTTCGCCAGCTCGGCCGATGGCCTCTTTAGCTGGACTGCAGCCAACTATGCACACCCAGTGCAAGAGGTATTCCGAAGCTACGGCAAAGAAAACGTGAACAGAATAAGGGAGGTGGTTATGAGATACGATCCTGACGGCGTTTTCAAATGCTTACGTCCTGGCGGATTTAAAAGATCTTCAGTCAGCACCTAAGGAATAAGAAGGTCCCCTTTCACGGTTGAACTTGTAGTTGGATTTGAAGTCTAATTAAGCACTAGTAGATCTTTAATAGAGTAATAACCTAGTTGATCTTGATCTACATGTGGACCTGTAGTTTAAATGAACTGCAACTGACCTGCGATTGAACCTCCAGTTGAATGAACTGCAGTTAATCTTCATTTGGAACTACATTTCGATTGGAATGTACCTATTTAATTTCATAGCTGAACATGGCGGCTAATCGAACTGCGGTTCAATTTACGATCCAATCAACCAATAAATGGATTTGGCGTTTACTTACCTACCTACATGCCTGTTGGACCTGTAGTCCACTTGAATTGCGATACTATAGTTGAATGTGCAGTTAACTCGGGCTGTTGTTGGTTTATAGTTGAAGTTACGGTTGTATCGATTAGGCCAGGTAGGCGTAATGACGAATCCATATTGGAACCTACTCGCAATGGGCAGCTAAACGCTTTAACCACTGCAGGCCACGCTTGGTGGCACGCATAACCCTGAGTCTAGTCGAATTGGAAGTTTAAAGGTTCAACGGCTCGGTTCTTTGATCTGGCAGTTTTATAGCGTCAGGGGCTATAAGCAAGGGGCTGTAAGCAAGGGGCTAGATACAGCTACTTAACTGCAGTTTGTATAATACCTGTGATGAATATATAAGAGTCCGAAGGCCCCATAGGGGTTTAAGAGAAAGCAAAGCGTTAATCAAGTCCTTTGACTAGGTACATATAAGCGAGCTAAAGCCTAGCTAACTGTTACTCTCATTCACTCTGTGACACAGTCTTCAACGACGGACCCACCCCCTGGCATATAACTTGTAAATCTTTGCAACGATCAACTTGAACAACTAGCCAGGGGTAGATCGCGAACTTCGAGCCGCGCCTCAAAGACTCATTAGGTATTTTGGGGCATTCACGAAAGAGGGACGAAGAAAAATATGGCTTTCAATTGAGGGGATGTTTCTTGAGTGCTCTTGATAGAAAGCCGACATTCTTCGGTACAGATAGAAACCACAAAGAAGTCGCGTTAACTCGCCCAACCGACAAGATTCATAGCTCCGCACACCCCTACCCTACGTCGTTCGTCACGCGCGTACACCCTATTCCTTGTATTTCTCCATAAAGTCTCTGACATCGAATACCACGCCACCATCATTGCCTGTGGCGAGACAAGCGGCAACGCAAGCGGCATAAGCAGGCGGGGTCTCAATCAGCGGAGCACACAAGCCTCCACATAAAATCTAGTGAAATAATTAGTTGGCAAATAACCATGACTGCTTGGGTGTAAGACGAACCGCTGCGTAGCCCTAGAGATGAGTTCGATTAGATTCTGTAATACGTTGGTTTTCTTGTTCCAATGGCACCTAGGGACTTACTCGGGTTTCAAGTGTCTTGCCGTCTCGTTCTACAACGGGGCTGGCTAGGGCAAGCCCTGAGGCAAGGCCAAAGAGAATAGCGAAGGCTTTCATGGTGGAGATAGATTGAGAGATTGGAAGGCTGGATGTTGTGCTTTAGATTATAGGTTTGGTTGAGCACCATTTTTCAAGTCGTTGGGTTCGTGACTCGTATTTATATTCATCCAATGCCAAGATATGCCCCGAACTCCAAATCCGTTGCCCTCAAGCAAGGCAACACCTGCTTGTTGATAATTGCATAAATTACTAACATGTGCTATATGTTAACTGCCATTCAGTTAACCACCTGAGGTTCTCAAGTCTATCTTACGATGTATTAGGTCTTACTTTATTCGAAACGTTAGTCATCACATATCGCCGAACGATACTAGCTCCAACTAAAATAAGCTGACATTATTCGACCAGCCCTTATTCGGCCTGGTAAATCCACCTTCAGAGTAATGGTACTATTGGATGCTCAGTAATTCGACGTACTTTTGTGAGCCCACCAAGATTTCCACGCTACCATCCATTTGAAAGGATTGGTCTGACGAAAAAAATCAGCCAGGCTTGCGCGGAGTAATGCCACCAGACCAATTACTATAAGGATATCATATGATAGTTGAAGTTTATTGGACGGTTCGCACCACTATCTAGGCTTTGTAGCCAAGCCGTCCTCCATTACAAACAATTGTCTAGGTTTCCTAATTATGGAAAGTGAAGGTATACCAGTAGATACTACAGGGAGGTAATGAATAACTTAAGCGAAGAGCTCGAAATATTGGGGTTCATTCAAACGAATTATTGTCCCTGGCTCATCACACGACTGACCATGGCATCTAACTTTTTCTTCACCTTCTGTATGCTTTTTGCTACTCTCGTCCAGAGTCTGAAAGGAGAACTTTCCATCATCCCGGGAAACATTCCAGTTAAAGATAACTCAGAAGTTCTTGTTCAAATTTTTGTTGTACAGCCAAAAATCGACTCAATCACTCTATCATTTTTGAAACTTTCAGATCCAACTTCGTCAGATTATGGAAAGTACTGGACCGCTCAACAGGTTGCCGAAGCCTTTCGACCAGAGACGCAAGCCCTCGAAGCAGTAACAAAATGGCTGTATTCCTATAGCACCTCCAAAACCTCATTGAAACTCTCAAACAGCCGAGGGCATCTTACATTCAAATCAACTGTTGAAAACGTGGAGACGTTATTCAAAACGAGTTGTTCTCGTGTCAATGATGTTAAGAATACCCAGACAATCAAATGCGGACCTTTCCAAATTCCCAAAGACCTAGAGTCTTATATTGATGTGATAACTTTGGTTGCGAAGTCTGCTCACAATCAGAGAAAACGCCAATCTTACCATCGAAAACATCACGGTCCGGCGGCTCGGGAACTGGAGAAAAAGGCATCCGAACAAGTACTAGATGTCGACTGCAAGGTATACACCTCCCCCAAGTGCCTACGGAGTCTTTATAACATCCCACCCACAACTTCCCCACCCCTTGGTAGCTCACTCGGGATCTACGAGGCTGCCTGGACCGCGTGGCTCCCAGAGGACTTGGACCAGTTTTTTGAGCGATTCCAACCTGAACTCAAAGGAGAGCGACCCATAATCCAGGCAATAGACGGGGGTTATACGCAAACCGATTACAAGATAACGCCATTTAATCTCGAGTCAGATTTAGACTTCGAGTATGCCATGGCCTTGACCAACGCAACCGTAGTCAACCTTCAGGTCGGCGACAAGTATCTCCTAGGGGATCTCAACGACATGCTCGCGGCTTTCGATGCCTACTACTGCGGAGCATTGGATCCAAGCATCGACCCCATCTTCCCCGACGACCAGCCCGGAGGATACAACAAGTCAACCGATTGCGGCACTCTATCACCTCCAAAAGTCGTGTCCATATCTTACGCCTGGCCAGAAGTTGATTTTCCGCCGGAGTACCTTCGGCGACAATGTCTCGAGTTCCTGAAATTGGGGCTCATGGGCGTCACCGTCGTAGTGGCAAGCGGCGACACAGGTACGCAGAGCGGTACCGCTCCAGGGACATGCATAGACAAGGCGACCAAACAGAATTCAAATTACACTACCGGCATGTTCAGTCCCCAATGGCCCTCCGGCTGTCCATGGGTGACTTCGGTAGGGGGGACGCAACTTTCGACACAGTCCGGCTCCAATTCGACCATTCCAACCAATATGTCGACACCAAGCTCCAATGAGATTGCATTCAACAAGGTTTTGAGTGGTGGAGGAATGCTTTCTTCCGGGGGAGGTTTTAGCAACACGATTTCCATGCCAAGTTACCAAAAGGAAGCTGTCTCAGCATACCTCCTGCGCGAGAAAGCCCATATATCCTCGCTCACCGCATCCGGATATCTTGGCAGCACCAACGGCTCAATAGCCACGCGTGGATTTCCCGACGTGTCCATCATGGCGTCCTCATACCTTACAGTAGTAGATGGCGAGCTGAAACAGATACACGGAACTTCTGCTTCTGCCGTGGTCTTTGCTTCGATGGTCGCCATGGTCAACGAAGATCGGCATCGCGCGGGAAAGTCCCCGGTTGGATTTATCAACCCTACCTTATACGCCAACCCAGACATCTTCAACGACGTAATCACCGGGCATAATTTAGGCTGTGGTGCCGATCCCGCGTTTAGGGCTGTTAAAGGATGGGATGCAATTACGGGACTGGGCAGTCCAGATTATAATGCTCTACATAGAATTCTTATGGAGCTACCTTGAAGTGGTACCGTAAAGATATTTCTGAAAATGAACTTGTAAATTACCTAATATTGTTACGAAACTATTTGCTCATTCAAGTGCTTTGTGATAACAAGATACTGGCATTTTGAGGTCATGTGTTTAGGTAGGTATGGACTAAAATACCGTGGACATCCCAAGTTCCTTTGCATTTTGTTTTCTTTGGTGTTGTTCCTCTAAGCTAGAGCTATCGGTACAGATGAAAAGAGTACCTATTCAAACGAAAACCTAATTTTGGCATCAAGTTAGGATCACTAGGCGAAAGGTTGTCTTAGAATGCACCCAATTGCAGTATGTGCCACCATGAACCATCTTCATAGCCGAAGGAAAGAGTCGGTGACATGAATGGCCAATATTCACCCACGATGACAACATATGACATTTGCATTGCAACGTCCATTGATGACGCCATTATTAAGCGAAAATAATCTAAGAATCTAGAATCTTATAAAAGTCATCAGAATAGGATAAGTTCACTATGAACTCTCAGCTGACGGCAGGATCGCGTGTTGCTTATTGATTCTAGCTTGGTTATTATTGAGGCTAGGTTTTACTCGCGATTTACCCATTGGCAAAGTCGTATACGTTGACAATAAACTATTGTCAGCAAATACGAGCCTCACTATGCGAATAGGTGAATATGTGACAATGCGGATAGTGAGGTGTCTCGGTAGGTATCTCCAGTCAGAGGCACTGATCTCGACTACAAGGCACGACTATAAGATGTGCCGACCAGCCCAGTTATGAAGAGACCACCAACCCACAACATCTTCAACACCTTCATTCAACCAACAATCAATATCCAACAACTTCCTTAACTACACAAACTCGATTCAAAGCTCTCTTTCAAAATGAAGTTCACCGCCGTTCTCTCCCTCGCCACGGCCGCCACCGCCATCCAGGTCAACTACTACACCGACGGAGGCTGCACTCAGTTCAACACGTCGCCGCCCAACGTGCCCACCGACGGCAGCTGCTACCAGTATCAGTTTAGCGGCACTAACAGCGCCAACGTTGCCAACTGCGACCATTCCGTCTGCGAGTGCATCTTTTACACCGGCGCAAACTGCCAGGGTGCTCAGGACGTGGCTATCAGCCCCGGTGACAACTGCGCGTCCAACTATGGCCCTGGATTCCAGAGTTTCCGCTGCGTCGTTACCGGCTAAGTTCCCACAGAACTTCCTTCTTACGCGTGGGATGGGACAATAAAGGGGTCGGGGAAAGATTGAGGAGATGTTTCGAGTGGTCGTGGAATGGGAATCGATGGAGAAAACTGTCTTATATTCGTAGTAGGGGCTATATAGAGTCATTGAATCAATTTGAGTTATGGTTGACATAACATTTATACCTAACGAATGTTTTTATTTCTTTGCTAGGTGACATTTTACATGGGTTGCCATCCCTAGTTGATCTAGTAGTCTAATTGAACCGCAGTTGAACTGCAGACTAAACTGCCAACGCACTGCGATTGAGCCTGTATTGAACCTGATCTTGGACTAGGGGGAATTTCAGACGAGAAGAGATTTCAGACTGGAGGGGATTTTGACTTGGAAGTTATTTTAGACTTGAGGAGATTTTGGACTACAAGGGATTTAAAACTAGAGGAGATTTCGGCCAGGAACTGATTTTGGACTAGACCTGACTTTAGATTATATGGCATTTTAAACTAGACCTAATCTTAGAATAGACCTAATTTTAGACAAAAGGCGATCCTAGACTATAAACCTTTGCAACTTTTTAAGTAAAAGATTACAGGGGTAATCTCGCTTTAACATAAGAAAGATGGCAGACCCTCACTTTACAACCAGTATTGCCTTTACACTCATGGCCCTCACATCCATAGAAATACCATTCAAACTATTGAAAAATGCGAACTTGTCAGCTAGCAGGTGTATCTACTTCGTTGTGCCATCACAAAAACACCGGGAGGCTGTCCTAGTTCGACAAAGTACAACACATCTAACTGTAGCCTCGGAAAGGTCATTTACCTTCTGTGAATCTTGGTCTTGGCCTTGTTGTTCCGAAGCACCATCTGATCTAGTAAAAGATCACATTCAAAGGCTTTAAAGAAGATCCTTCGACCCTGGGGATTGGGTTGATGCAGCGTGAGTAAGAAGCATCAGCGACATGGAGAATTCATCCGTACTCATATGAAAGACAGGGGATACCAGCTGAACTTCGTACGGGGTGGTGACAGAGACCATACAGCCGCAGCGACGCGGGCAGCTCTCGATAAAATATATGCGCGGCATGGCTAAGATTATCCGCCAACAAGAGAACGAGTCGTATCCACCCGGAACATTTGGCATCACTGAAGAAGAATTGGATACCATCTCGATGTTGAAAATGGAAGCCCCTGATCTGATGGAATTACATAACCTCTTTTCTAACAAGGAAAACGAGTGCCAGGCGTCGGACAATAGTTCATCTTGGAAGTGGTATTTTCTTTCCCGATGTATTCGAATACTCCAACGAAAGAGGCATCTCATTCCATATCCAGATGATGGCGGCATATATGTATGGCAGGAAAGGTCAATTTCTCGAATGAATGGGATTGTCAACGAGTTGGCTCCTGGAATCGGAGTGTACGCACTGGTACTTTATTCATCTTATGCCAGTATGTTCTGTGTTGCTTGACTCAATCTAATATAGTCTAACATCATGAAGCCATGAACTACAGATGGAAGGAAGCTGGAGATAAAGAAGTACACACAGAGGCTATTGATAATGGCATTGTGCAAGGTATCCTAAGCAGCAAGCTAGAGGTCTGGGTATGTACAGGTGTTCAATCCTTTTGTTTTCCTCAGCTGGATTTTACGTGAAGAGTAGGTAAGCATTCCCCCTTCATCTAAATGTCAATTGTCTGACATATTTTTAGTTATGTGAAGACATGTAAGGTTCTTGATGTTGGCAATCTGTCCAATTATTTTCAGTGTCCTGGAGCTGGACCATTCATGAGAATGTCCTTGATCGTCACGCCCGGGCTGGTAACTCTGGATCTTAGTCAGCGCAATGGTATATCAGAGAAAGGAGGCGAGGCTGTGGTTCCGGTCACGGAAAATTCTCAAGCTACGTGCTCACAGACAGCTAAGAGACGCAAGTTGTCTTCTCAATTGTCCAATCAGGTTCATACAATGGAGATATCCAGTATTGCACCCTCCTCCGGGGACATACGCAACGACGACGCTCTTGGGCTTCACACATTAAAAGCAAATGTGGTTCGTTCTGACGATGTAAATCACCACCCCAAACCTCGATTTCTCGAGATTAACATCATAAACAGGATCCTACACAACTGGATATTACCAATGAAGATCTTTTGATGGATCACTCTAATTCCCTCGAGTATCTTGGCTTCAATACGATTTATGATGGATCCTACGGAGAACAAGACCTCCTATCTCATAACATTGCAGAAATCGGCATTGGTTTCAGCTAGCAGGACTTTAACCTACCTATAGAAGAAGCTCACGAAGACACTGGCTTGGTAGCGTATTGAATACCGATAAATGCGAAACCTCCTTCCAATACTCGTACTACTTCTTTCCCCTCCGGCGGGTAAATGTATCCAATGCGCCAATTCACCTCGGCATTGTTGGAGTCATCTCCCTCTGATTGAATCGCAAGCCTCGTTTTAGATGGTGTGCTTTCTGTTTGATATCCATCACGAATAGGTGCAGGAACTGCTAAAAGGACATGGCACCGAAACTTTGAGGTTGAAGTCGGAAAGTTACTTCCATCTATCCAAAGGAGATCCGGGCCTAGGGTGACTAGTCCTATATGGAAGCCTTTTTTTTTCTGCGATGTTCCGAAGAGTGGCTGGCTTCCGACAATTAGAGAACGAGAAGCAGAAACAACACGATTGAACTTACTAGTTCGTCCTCGTTGTACTTACGGATCAGGTTTCTGAGAACCTCAGGCAATTAGTCAAATGGATATCTGAATCGTCCATTGCCTAGCGAATCAAGGTCTTTAAGCTGATATGTAGATGATGCAAGGTATTGGAAAGCGGGTGAAGTTTGGAGCATATGCACCGTAACTTCCCTTAAAAAAAGAACTGAGCATTCATTAATATTCTCAATAAACCATAGGAGATTTTGAATTCGAGGGAACAGGCGGGATGATAGTGGGGTAAAGTGATTGAAGCACGTGATAGTAGATACCTTGCAATTGAACCACAGCTTTGAATAGCTTCAATTTTTAACCTCCTGTTACTTGGCCTATATAAGCGCTATAGCTCTCTCAAATTGATTGGGTGCATCCCTTCGATCTAAAGGGGCCCTTGCGCAGGTAAGTCAGGATCTGTCTGCAATTTGCTTACTTAAAGTACCACGTTAAAAGATTAGCGCATAACGCATGTGCCAAGTTCTCCATTGCTAGCTAGCAACGAACGAATTTCAAAGCACGGCCCTGCCTCAATACATTACATAAAATAAAGTATTTCACCTCGACACCTTCCTACTAAATTAACATTATTTACAAGATGTATCACCTCGCCCTTCATTCACAATGTGGTATCTGTGCCGACATAATATTCAGAAATCAGCCAGTCATAGCACGTACGATTACTCCCTTCCTTTGTTTTTCTCTTTCTCAAAAAAATCGTGTTTACTAAGATAGTGCAGTGTTTGGTGACGATGACTCGACTTCGTATCGTGGACAAACGCGAGCCTTCCTTTTCCCAGATGTCGAACCTACAATCACCACAGTTGACGGCTTTCAGTTATGCCGCCGCCCCAAATGCAAAATTTGCGCAGCTTCCCCTCACTTTATACCTGTGCATTACGAGTGCTTTCATATTTTTCAACAATGTTGTGTTGAAAATATCAGCGTTTTGGATCGGCTTTGGACAATGGCCGCATGGAGAAGCCCTTGGCGAAGAGCACGTCCTATTTATCTCTTTCGCAATCAACCCGACCTTAATTCGCTAAAGGCAATAAGCCATACCTGCCAGTTGCCGCAACTGTGCAAGCTCCCGATTGAATTGCTTGTTATAATTCATGGCTATTCTGAGCATGCCTTGCTTTGGCGGGCAGTTTCAGCACATAGCTTAGCTTCTCACGTATCGTCTACCAGTCCAGAACCACTATTCACAATGCCGCTGGGTAATATTCTTTCCTGGAAACGCGGTGGGAAACTCGAAAAGTGCTGCGACAATTCCTCGTCGCGCATGCCCATAGTGAGACTCACCATTGATTCTGACGGAATCAGCAAAATAGAATCTACACTGGATCGTCTTTCCAAAGATGCGGCTCATGTCCGATTCGCTTACATTGTAGAGCAAAAGCAAACAATTGGCAAATTGGCAGCACAGTTTAAGGTACGCCTTATATTCCATCAACTTAGCCGTCTACAGTTCTCTAATCATGTTTAAGAACGGCCTGTTGCGTCTCGTATTGCCGACTGGTCAACCAACCCCACGAATCTGGAACACTCCAGACCCTCCAGATTTATCTCTTTGTACGCCCTATATGAGTGCCTATCCTTCTTGGCAACACTTTTACGCCGTCGATACAGGCCGTATAGTAGGTATTACCTTCTTTTTCTCCTCGGGTCGGCTCTTCGGTATACATCCTCATTACTCCAATACGTCGAATGCTATGCCGACGTACTGTCGATTTTCACACAGACGTCAACGAGGCATAGTCTGGGTCTACCAGCCTATCGCGAAGCATGACCGACTCCTTGTTTTTGGAGTGCGCGAGTCATCCCAAAGAGAGCTCAGTGTTTTAATCCGATTTGAACAAATTGGCGATGTGGCTATCGGGTCGTATATTCCAGGACCCGCAAAAGATCGATGTTTAGCTTGGTGTCCTCCTATAACTCTTATTTACAACGAGCCCATCGAAGGGCACGAGATTTCTTTTTTGAGCGCGTCCAGCGGATTGTCGGGCGGGGCGGGGTTACCTAAACCTTTTGGCGTGGAGAAATTAGGGTTAAATCCATTTCGTGAACAAGCCTATTTCTCAAGGGCCCCCCTAACAGATATTGCCTCAGCGGAAGTGTTCTATGATGAGGACAATCAGCTTTGTAAAGGTATCATATTCCGATATCACGATGGAGCATGTCGAGCTGTGGGACAATGTCGCGTACATATAGACGCGACAACGTGGGTATGTCGGCCGCGGCGATTTTGTTATCGTATTCACGCACGTGATCATCGTCATCGAGTGATCTACTCTCTACAGGTAACTCTGCAAGAGGCCCCCATTCACCAGCATGGAGAAGGATGGATATGCCACCAGCTCGATGGGATGCTGAACTTCTGGTTTGCGCCTGACTCGTCATTTATAACTATAGAAAATTGATCCAGAGTAAACACATTCTGAACCATTCGACCACTCACCAACTTTGTCGAAACCATTTGGCTATCATGCAAATTGTGATCTACTTAGCATCTCCCAATACAGTAGCTTCTTTGTACCGTTTCTCAGGCATCTGGAGATTCGTCTTCATCTGCATCCAGCACGTACAAGATGCGACCAGAGGCGGCCATTATCACGCTTGCTAAACATGGCAAACCTTGGACGACAACGAAGGCTCTCTTCCAATCCCGGTCAAAAATAGTTTCCCATACATCTTGATTCCAATAAATGACCTTATGACCAATAACATTGCCGTCGTGCAGTGTAGCTTGGCCCCATACAATGCGTGTACATTCTTCCGCATCGTAACGCTCGTAAGAGCTTGTATCCTCAAGCCAGCTAGGCACTGGGTCGTGTGCGGAATCAACAGAACTTGCGTGTTCACCAGCAGCTAGCCCAGGTTGAGCATCGGGACTCCAACTCACAAGCCGACCATCGCGTTCAAGGTTTACATGGCTGTGACGATAAGCGTCCACCTGATGGACCTCGTTATCGTGCCAGTTGGTAGGAAGCACGGCATGTTCAGGCCTTGGTGATGAAGCCATGCTGAGCAGGGCACTTGGAGGCGTGCTATTATTCTTGATGTAGGTCAAGGCCGCAACCAGCAACTCCCAGTCATCTATCGCGTCGATGTACTCGTCTACGGCTCCCAAACCGTTGCCCATAGGCATGTAAGGAATCAAGTATTCGCTGAAAATGTGGAAGATCCATATTCGCAATTTAGTACCAATGCTGGTCATAGTCCATACACGCGGTTTTCCGGTCACGGCAGAATATGCGCAAGCCGCAGTGTAGGCTTGATATTCTACCTGATCAATCTCGTATTGAGTCGCATCGAATTTCTTCACTTCGACAAAGAGTATTGTCTCAAAACTCTCGGGGTCCATTCTTTCGACGACAATATCAACTCTTCTTGTATCATTTGCTTCCTTCGTTGGCGGTTGCTGGGATGATATAACCCACTTGGCTTCAAAGAATATCGCATGCCTAAAAAGATATTCCCAAAACCGAGTGGATGCCCACTCTAGATTGATATTCGCATCCTTTTTCAAACGTACGAGTGACTCTCGGATTTCAGGGTTGTTGTGGTTCATGTTCGGAATTGACGAAAAGGCTCTTGTATAACAAAGTACTATAGATATTGGGCTATTAAAAGATAGCAAAAGACACAAGTTGGAAGCCTAACTGATCCATTACAGATATATTCTCAAGCCTTATTTCTATCCGATCGTAACAAAATAGGTAAAACGCCCTAAGCGATATAAAATACACCCATCTCGATAAGAACCATTCTTGCGTGTTGGTTAACTCGCTTACCTTCTATGATGTTACTTGAATGTCTACCCAGGTACCTATTTAAGCGCAAGATTTCCACCACAAATGAGGTGAGGTATATCGCGAGTAATGCGGGGGTTGTTTCCGTTGAAATCTTTATCGCATTTTTTCTCGACACGCGTCCTGCAATGATACGTGTCTATATAACATTAAAGTATTGGAAGCTACCTTTAGTGGCACAATAACCCAAACAACTACTGACTAGGTGGTCCGTGTGACCTTAGTTTTGGTACCTTGATGACCATTTTCCTCGATGACCATTTTTGGCCCCCACCTGGACCAGGGCCTGGACCCGCTTTTTCAGGGTTGGGGTTATACAACCAGGGTTAGGGTTGATTTTTGTCAGGGTTATCCAGGGTTAGGGTTTAACCCCGGCTTACGTAATTAACTTCAAATTTTCAAAAGTGGTTTTTTCGACGAAATAAAACGTTTAAAATAAAGTTTAAAAAAACGTTTATAAATCGATGGATTTTATAAGTATAATTATAATATTATAACCGTTTTAAAGCTTAAATTTTTCGTTATCGATTAATATGGGATGCACCAGGATGAGGGTAAGGGTGGGGAAGTTATTAAGGGAAACGTTTTTAAAATAAAAAATTATTTTTTTAAAAATTTAAAACTTTAAAAATAAATAAAACAACGGAATAACCACGGTTTAAATTTATAAAAAATTTTAATTTAATTTAATAATATTAATTTAATTTATTAAAAACTTATTATTATTTTTAAATAATTTTAAACGTTTAATATTAAGAAATAATAAAAATAATTAAAATAATTATAAATATTTAAAAATTTTAATTATATTATTATATTTATTAAATAAAATAATTTAATTTAATATAAATTTATATTATAAATTTTTTTAAATATTTTAAAATTATTATAAATTAATAAATTTAATAAAACCAATTTAATTTATATTAAATTTTTATATAAATATTATATATTTAATAAATTTAATTTTAATAAATAAATATAATATAATATAAAATTATTAAATTAAAAAAATCGAAAATAATAATTTTATTTAATAATATATATTTATAAGTTTTAAATTATATTATTAAAATATTAATTAAAATAAAAATAAATATAATAAAATTAATATTATAAACTTTAATTATAAATATATAATATATAATGTACAACCAAAGATCGAACGTTTCCTTAAACCCCCGCCATTAATTTAAATTTTTGTATGAACGTTTCCTCGGGGCCCATTTATTGATTGGTTAGTAAACCTTAAATGTCGGCAAGCCACGCGCTAAGGCTGCAGGAAACGTTGCTAAAATAACCTTATTCTCAACCCCGGTCGGAAATGCTGGCAAGCCACAAGGAAACGCTGGCAAGCCACCCTATTAGAGCCACTTATTCAATTTAGTGCCGCCATACCCCTGCGCCCCCCCCCCGCACCTGCGATTGAGGCTGTATTCAACCTGACTGGCGCTCCAACCTGACCTGCGCTTCAATTGACCTGCGCACCTTCAATTGACCTGCGATTCAATTGAACTGCGATTGAACCTGGATTGAACCTATAGTCTAATTGACCTGCGATTGATTTGCTGTTTGATTTGCAGTTGACCTTGAAGTCTAATTGAACTGCAGTTGAACCTGTAGTCTAATTGACCTGCAATTGATTTGCAGTTGCATTCAAGGTCTAATTGAACCTGTATTGAACTGCAGTTGACCTGCGATTGATCTGCAGTTGAAGCTGCAGTCTGATTGGACTGCGGTTGATCTACAGTTGATCCAGTAGTCTAATTGAACTGCAACTGACCTGCTGACTAATTGAACCTGGATTGAACCTGGATTGAACCTGGATTGAACAGCTGTTAAACCTGTAGTCTAATTGAACCTGTATTGAAGAGCTGTTGAAACCGCCGTCTAATTGACCAGCTGACTAATTGAACCTGGATTGAACAACAGTTGAAACAGCAGTCTAATTGAACCTGTATTAAACGGCTGTTGAACCTGGATTGAACCTGGATTGAATCTACAGTCTAATTGAACCTGTATTGAACAGCTGTTGAACCTGGATTGAACTGCAGTTGAAACAACAGTCTAATTGACCTGCGATTAGACTGCAGTTGATCTACAGTTGAACATGCAGTCTAATTGAACCGCGATTGAACAGTAGTTGAACCAATAGTTTAATTGACGTTGTATTGAAATAACAGTCTAATTGACGTTGTATTGAACCTCTAGTCTAATTGAACCTGTCTTGAATCTATAGTCTGATTGACCTGCTATTGATTTGTAGGGACTAGATTTAGGAGGAGTGGCATTGAAGCCGGGAGAGCAGGGCTGACGTAAGCAAGGATGCAACCAATCAGAGCAAAGTAGGAAAATACCGTGGATTCAACCGTGGGACAGTGGTTTAAGCGCTGTATTCCAAGGCATGTATTAAAATAAAAGGTTTTTATTTATTTTAATTATTAAAAATTAAATTAATTATATATAAAATATATAAAAAATAAAATAAAATATAATAAATAATAAATAATATTATAAATTTATTTATATAATATAATTAAAATAAATAATAAATAAAATATTAATGTAATTTAATTAAATTAAATAAATATATATATAATAATATAAATAAAATATTAATTTTAATAAAAATAAACTTATTATAATAAAAAATAAAAAAATAAAATAAATAATGAAATAAAATAATAAAATAATAATAATAATAATAATAATATATTATTATTATTTATTTTATAAATAAATAAATATAATTTATAAAAAAAATATATTATAATAAATAAAATATAATAAATTATTTAAAATATTAATTATTTTAAATTTAATATTTATATTTATATTAAATAAAAATAAATAATAAATTATATTATATATAAAAAAATTTAAAATAAAAATAATAAATAATTAATTAATTAAATAATTA